CTAAATTTCGGGATGACAATAACATATATAACCAAAAATGTGAAAAAATATCTTATCTGGCAACGCCGTTGGCAAGCTTACTTCACATTGATTTTAATTATTGGACGCTCCAGTATTGGATGGATTTATAAAAAAAAAATGCTACACATTTTTTTATGTCAGTAATAATAAACTGAGAAATTAAGATTGAAGTGTGCCTCATATTACGAGTGTATATAATAAAAATAGTTACTCTTCTTTTAATTAAATAATGGGGAGATTAATTATATTGGTCTTCCAAAGCAATCCAATTCCAGTGGGTACACCCCCTATGTATGACATAAAGACGTCAGACAGATAGAATTACATGTATTTTAATCTATACGTTATATACCCACTTGTTTATTTATTTATTAAAAATACAAATAACAGAAATACATCGTTATTTCTTACTTACTATTTATTTCTTGGGAGTATAAACATCCAGCGAAAACTTCTTTTTTCTTAGCTAGAACAAAAGAGAAAATGTCTATTTCAGAGATTGCTCATTACGTTAAAATATTTTTTTGCAATAAACTTCAGGAAGCATTGTATACTGTTATAAAAATTATATAGATAGAGTGTCGCCATACAAATGATTCTAGAAAAGCGGGTCAACTTTTTTATACAATTTTGCGCTATAAATAGTTATAAGTGATTCCTTTATAACTTCTATATTTATTTTGTTTTATAATTTTTCCATTTTTTTAATGCGTAAAAATTCATTTTACTTATTAAAAATAGATACGTGAAGATACATTGTGTGGGTAATTACATAGAACGCTGATAAAAAGACGAAAACTAATTTGACAATTAGCTGGCAAAAAGTTAATCCGTATCTATATAATCTAAGACAGCATCAAATCAGCATATGATCGTAATGAAATATACCAAGTTTTATGACGATTAGTTGTTAAAGCGCCATGAGATAATAAATACACAAACAAACTCACTTTTACATTTATAATATTGGTAAGAATTTTACAAAAATACATTCAAAAATATATATTACAAAAAGCGGACGTAATGTTACATTAACATTGTCTATCCAGTCGACCTTTAAGAAAAAATAATTTATTCTATTATTACTGTATATTTTAGTGCAATAAAGAATATTAATTTATATCTATTTATTATTAGGCACATGGTTAGTAAATACCAATTAGTAGGTTCTTCAACTAATTGACACAGGAGTGAAAGAATTGTTAGTACCTAATGGAGACTAAAGGCGCCATTTCTAGCAATATACCCAACTAGTTCGACCTCCCCGTGGTCCTTCTTGGTAACCATCGTGCTAAATTCCAAACGTTTTCATCACGATGAGCTAACTGACCTACCTTTTCATTCTCACCTATCATCATTTAGTGGTGCCCCGCCAGCGTACCTATACCGTTAGCGCAGGCGGGGTTACAGTTTAATTATCATCCAATAAAAAACTAATCACATGAAGAAGTAGATTGATTCAGATGCCTTCATATAAAGAGAAATTGGCCCTACTGATGGAGTACAAAACCGTACCTACTATATTAACTTTTGTGTCATTTATTGTAGTTTATATAACTCGTATACATTGAACATTATAATAAAAGGTAAGGTAGAAGGAAGGAGGAGAAGAAAGAGATCGAGACATAGTTACATCAGGCAGATCAAGGAAGGAGTTTGTGTCGTGTCGTATCAAGAGGTGAAGATACCGATACGACAACATAACCTTCAAAAAAAGAGTATATTCCTTTTTAAAAGGCCGGCAGCACACCTGCAATGCCGCTGGTGTTGTGGGTGATCATGGGCGGCGGTAGTCACTTACCATCAGGTGAGCCGCATGCTCGTTTGGCCCCTGTGTTGTAAAAAAAATGAGACTCGTTTAAAATCGTAGTAAGTGGCAAAAGCTCCACCGACAAGAGCGCAGCTCTTAAATAGGATAGATAGATATATTCGTATGTGATTATATATATGATTGTCGTATCGTCCCAACATAGAATAAGCTACCCCTTCCTTTCTCATGGGTGTCGTAAGAAGCGACTAAAACTAAGATGAAATTCTAGGTATAATGGTCAAGGGTTGAGCAGAAGCTTCCCTTTTAAAACATCATTAAAAGCTTAACTGCGGTTATCAATCCGCCTGCCAAGTGTGGCAACTACTGTAAAGTTTTGTGGGTCTTGTCTTTTTTTTTAATGAATGATTATGAAACATTATGAGACATTAAGTTACGCTGATGGAGTATCTTGAGAGGTGATAAGTGATGATGAAATCAAGTCAGTTGGCCCATCATGATATTTATATCACGAATTAACCACAATAGTTTTCAGGAGGATCGCATTAATATCGATCAAGCAGGGTTTTTTATGAATTAAAATGAAATAGTAACCCCAACTTCACTATTAACACGCTGAAGGGACACCAATGAGGAATAATTGGTGAGGATGAAAGCACGTCAGTTAGCCTATTATAACGAATTCAACAAGAATTAACCACGATGGTTTCCAGGAGGAACCATGAAGCGGTCAGCCTGATAAGATATAATTGCTAGCAATGGAACTTTTATATCCCATTACTAACAATCCCTTTCGATTGAACAGCGTATCTAAATTGTTAGCAATTTGGCTGATTTTGGATCTCCATTATTGAAAAAGGGAACCTCGTTTTTTCAATCAATGAAGGTATAATTAACAATCCACCAGCGCTATCATCATTATTCTGGCAGGGTAAGAGAGAGAGAAGGGATTGTTAGTAATGGGCAGGTTAATAATCATTACTAGCAACATTCCCTCTCCCATCTCTCAACTCTCCCAACTCTCATTTGGCAACTATCGTTCTTAATTCCTTGTGTTACAATGAACCTAACCTTATTTTAATCTTTTCATTCCTTCATTCTCGACTAATGTATGCCGTTATCATATATAGCTGCACCATTCCATCTTCATCCATTTGAAATACACTGAGCTTACCAGTGAAGGATGATAGATAAGGATGAAATCAAATAAGTTGGTTGCCTGGAGAGCTGAATATGAAGGGCAATTCTCGATGAATTTCTTTGTTGTATAAATAGATTAATGAATGTGTTGGAGCCGAAAAATAATTATTTTTTATTTATATCGGAGCATCAAACATTTTTTTTATCTATTTAACGATGTTTATACTTGTTCGTGAGTTGCCAACTTGAAGTTTTATTTTTCAACAAAAAGTGGCTCAGATAGCTATGTAGAAAATGTAGGTTCAAAACCTATTTGATAAATAAATATCGTTAAGTTATTTTTTATTTATTTTAATACTTATTGTTTCTAAAAAAATAAGTTGAAATAATTGAGACTTACGTATCTTCTTTCAAATCTAATTGCGCCGGACAATTTATTCGGCATGCATTCATTGAAACGTCTGTTTATAACTTAAAAAATCGTAAAGACAAGTGAACGATTGACGAATGTTTTATGTGTCTGCCTATTGAAGGAGTATAACCATTTTATAGGTTTTATTATTAGATATTTTTATCAGTTTATTTTGTTGCAAATATAAAATATCTTTGTTAGTAGCGACATCTACTGAATGTATCCAAAACTTAAATTTAAGCTTACACTAAATGCAATAGATGTCGCTAATTTACATATCAATTACAAAATGTGAAATTCTAAATTATTAATCTTATTCACATTTCACAAGCTTATTTTTTTAATAAAATTAAAATTTTTAGTAATTTTTTAATGTTTAACTAATGTTCTCTTGCAAATTAAAGCGATATAGAATTAAATAATACTTCGTAACGGATCAGACATGATCTGGAGTATGCAAGATACAATAAGACGTTGAATATTAATACTATAAGATATCTTATTTTTTATATGGTTTATAATGCTGTTTATTATTCCGAATAATGATTTAACCAAGTTTTATTTTATTAATTGTGAACGCAGCAAAAACATATATTATTTTTTTATTATGGTAACATTCGAATGTCAAAATGCTACTTGCCATCTATGAATACTTTCCCATAAAAATTGAATTAATATATAAATATGACGGGCTCCTTAATTTTGAATTTTTGTTAGGTATATTTGATTTAAAATTAAATATACTATATATAATTTTACTATATAAAAGTACCCGTAACCGGCGAGCGTGTATGACAAGATTGATGAATGTGGAAGAAGCGAAAGAGGTTTGTTTGAATCGAAGCATTTGGCGTTCCATTGTTTCTGCCTACCCTAATGGGAGACAGGTGTGACAGATATGTATGTATGTATAATTTCCCGTTTTTTATATTTAACAATATGTATCGACAAAATATATTTAACCCAAGATCACTACATTTACTTTTTATTAATTTTAATAATTTTATATATATATATATATATATATAATTTTATTTGTCTCTGCTATATGTACTCTGTTACTAATAATTTAATATTTATTTCTTATCGTATTATTTTTGCACCATATATGTTATGCTTTATATACAACCACTATAAATACTTTTTCCTTAAAGGTTTTCAAAGTTGATTGGAAGAAATCCCTTTGTGGGATAAGCCCACTTGTGACCATTTTTGATATAACCTAATATCTATACTAAAAGTGTATGTACAAAAGTATATAAATAAATAAATGATAGTTTATCGTTGGTACTAATTCTGAGAAAAATTTTTTGCTCTAAATTTATTTTTAAACTTAATTAATGAAAATAAATCCTAGGTTAAACGTTGTATTTTCAAATATGCAGACATTTGGATCATTTAAAAATTATTGTCACTTTTTAGTTTATAGAAATCTCGTGTATAACGATAACGCCCTAGAAACTCTTTTCAAAGGCGTCGTCCACACACAAGTAATAAATAAATAGCGTTAAAGAGATTATTTTAGAGAATTAAATTAGCTTAATTTTAATAAATAAATATAGATTTTAATCTCCAGCAAAAACTTCTTTCAAAAAAAGTATTTTTAAGGGTGTTGTATATTTTCAGTGTGTTAACCCTAAAATTAGTACCGTATGAAAACTACGCGACGTTGAACTGCATGTACGTTCGCGCTAACAAAACTCGTTGAAAATGCAGTCATCAAAATGGTAGAATCGTTGCAAATGTTCTTATTCCTGTTCAAATCAAAATACAGACGAAAATTCTCGTGGTTCTCACCGTTCTTGTGTTCAGTTCTTATAGTGTTATTGTTTTGTCATGGTGTTCTTTCTAAATGTAGCGATCATAATTGTTTGAATGGTGTGTGTAAAAATGATACTTGTATCTGCTACGACGGCTGGCAGGGCTCAGAGTGCCAGTATTGCGGCGGGAAAATCAAGTAAGTACCTCTATAGGATCCCTAGAATGTCGAGTATTCTTGGTTCAGTGACCTGATTGACAGGCGCACCTCTTGTCACATTGAAAACAAGAACGGTTTTGTAAGAGAAAGCAAACCGTAGGATTATCCAATTATCTTCTTTGGCTTCTTCACTTCTTCCTGAGCTGTTTGCGAAGGTCGTATATAAAGCGGCATGTGTAAAAATAGCAACATACCTATTTAACAGCTAGTCAGCTAGATTGACGTTAACGTGAAAAAAACATAAGAAATTAGTCCAAATTAATGTACGATCTAGATTTTATGGTCTTAGAATGAAACTTTACCACACTGCTGCCCTTGTAAATGCTATTATTAGGTGCTAATTGACCATTCTGAAGATAATTTTACAGTAATCATGTTCTGACTAATGAAATTATTGCTCTATATTGCTATGTGTTTAACATTTCATATTTCATTCATACTTGAATGAAAATTACTAAAACATTTCCTCAGGTTCATATTAAATATCTGAAAAATAAATTCAAATATAATAGCTTAGGTAGGGTTTACCAACATTAAATGAAGTGTACTAGATTGCTGAAATTCATTCGAAGACATTGAAATATTTGTGTAAAAAATATCTTTACAAACTATCACATATTATACATATTTACACAACAATGGCCCAAATGAGAGGTTAAGTGTGGTAAAAATTCATTTTTCACATATTATATTGTTGGCTTTCTGCTCTACACATGGTAATAATTTACTAATAAACTGTTTGATGAAATAAACAATAACAATTTTTTAATCATGTAATTGTAGATTAATTTTTATATTTAATAGTTTTAACTGAAATTGTTTGCATTGCATTTTTAAACTGAATTAATTGCATTCATGTGGCACATATTTAAGTAAATTGGTTTTATTTTTCCTACTCATAACTCTTAAAATGGACCATTGGTAAAATCAAAAATAGTTTATTTATTGAAATAAAAACTAGTTTTTATTTTTCTATTTAATGTTTATATGGATTATTAGTTTATAATTTCACTTGTTAACAGTTAAACTGGAGGTTACATAAGAAAATGCTATTTAGGAAAAATGCTTATAGAGTAATAGCAAAATCATATAACACCTGAAAAAGTTAAATTACTTTAAACTAAAAGTAAATAATAACAAAAACCTTAATTTTTATATAACATCTATTATCTATGTGCTCAATAAGAAGTAAACAATGTATCTTGTGTATACCTACAATTTATTTTCATTTTATAATGTTTTTTTTTATTACCATATTTTATACCTCTGTACTATATCCTACTGATCTTATTTATATAAATAATTATTATGTTGCAATTGTTTATTCATTAAAAAAGAAAATGAAATAGATATATAAACATATGATTCTATAAATTAAAAAAATTGGTTAATTAAACTGTTCATCTTGTGATTGATAAAATTGTCTCCTTGCATTTGTTTGTGTTAAATTTAAAATGATTTAACTAGATATTAGATTCATCTTAATTATGGGATTTCTATAAGCTATATGAAAACAACCTTCTTCCATCTTCCAGTCAACCCAAAACAGTTGGAAAGCATGTCATTAGTGGCACCTAAATTGCAACAACTATTAATACTCCAAATATAAATAACTAATCAATACATAAACTAATATACAAATAAACAGTTAAATGAAATATTAATATATATTATAATATTACATAAATATATAAAAATAAATGTAATGTCTACCTACATTAGAAATTTATTGTACTGAATTTATTAAGTACTTAAGAGTATATTGACCCATGTTTATATTATACCTGTCTATGGAGGAGGTCTATGGCAGCAGTGGATACATAATGACTGAAGATGATATATATGCAATATTCTCCTGTGATGTGGTGACAGAGGCTTTACTTTTAAAGGTTAAGGTTAAAGTTTGATGACAACAAATATTTTTAATATAGTACAATAAAGTAAAATCACATGTAATAAATAAATTAAAAATTGAAATTAAAGCATTGAGTTCTGACAACTTATGTTTATTCAAGGAATGAAATGTACTATTCAATTGACAAAAGTAGTGTGATACATATTGGCATGCCTAATATACTTTTACGATCACTATTAGTTTTTATTTACTACATGATTTTTATCCTTTTTCACAACATGTCCATATCAAATTAACCTCCTTGGGGAGAAAGAGATCAAAGAGATTGTTAGTAATGGGGTTTAACAGCTCATTGCCAGCAACATATTCTATTACATCAACCTCCACATGGTTCCCTCTGGAAACCATCATGGTTAATACTTGAATTGAATATGTCATGACTGGCCAATTGAACTGCATTTATCCTCATCTGTCATCCCTTACTGATACTCTGCAAGTGTATACTGACAGAGGACAGGCAGGATTATCATTTTACCCATTAAAAATCAACTTCCTTTCTCTCATGTGGATAAATCACTAGTACTACATTTAGACTTTCTCATATGTGCATGTTGGTTATTTTTACAACAACAATCAGCACAATTTTATCAACATTCTCATTTCCACTGAATGGAAAACTTTTTCATACACCAATGTTGCCTATTGTTCAGATTTGTGAATTTATCTTTGTGTAAGCAAAATATATAAAGGCTGTTATTTACATAACTTAGAATGGCAAACAAGCTAACAGTCCACCTGTTGGAAAGTGGTAACAGTTGCCTATAGTGATATCTATAGGCAACTGTTACCACTATATGTATACTACCATGGGCATAATAGAGTATACTGTAACACCGATGATACCCTTCGCGTGTTGCCATTCCTGAGGACTAAGGTATTAAGTGTCTGTACTCTATAATTTCATTGGCACATCCCAGCATTTAAACCAAGTCATAGTCATGTAAACTCAACTGCTTCATGGCAGAAATACTAATGGTAGAGAAGTATCTAAGCAGACAACTTTTGCACAAAGTCTCCCTCTGGTTAAAAAATAAAAAATAATAATAATAAAAATTGAGAAATAAAAGCATTCTTTTAAAGATAGTATTAGATAGATGTAAAAGGAGGGAATGATCTAAAAAAGCAGTTGGATTATTTAAAAAATGGTATACATAAAAGAGGTGAAAGAGAAAGTCATATATGGAACTAATAGAATAAAGGCTTAGCTGAATAATTGACTACATTATGCAGCAGAGACCAATCAATAATCTATAAACAAGGGAATGATGATTCTGAATCATATAATGTGACTGGCTTTATAACTGATATATAGCCTCCTTTTTAATTCAAGTTCAGAGCATGTGTTATTTATTTACAAATTTTATGCAAATTTTTATAATGTTGATCACATCTGTTTCATTGTATTTATTCCATTTTATTCTGGTTGTAATTGTCTTGTTTGAGGCACATGACCGTGGTTAATACGTATTCATTTTTATGGACTAGTTTCATAGGATATAGCATTATCTGATTGTAACAAATTAAATAGATGACGAATATACTCATATTGTATATATAGACGTGTCTGGGCGGCCGTTTCGTTTGTAATTTGTAGGTATTTCACTATATTTATTTCCTTGTATTTCGATAACCTTGATGGTGTAGGGGATACCGTCTCATTTTTCAATGATCGCAGGTTCAATTCGTGCACATACTACACATATGAACATACGATCATGAATATATCTCTGTATCGTATTCATCTGGGTATTTTCTTTATATAATCCTTACTAATATTATAAATGTGAAAATGATTGTTTGTTGCCTTTTTTAAACAATGGCAATGAAATTTGGTGTACACAAGGATGTAGGCTACTTTTTGTCCCGGTCAGTAAACATATCGCGCTCACGCGGATGAAGTCGCAAATAATAGTTAGTAATATATATATACATACACAAAAAAAAAATAAGGAATTTGTTTGCTTTTTTTTAAAGTAATAATTACTTATTTCTGCGATTTCCAGGTTGACATCCCCAACTGGTATCATAACGGACGGGCCCGGAAATTATAGTGTGAGCACTCAGTGCTCATGGCTGGTGTCTCCGCCGTGGCTCGGTCCATCCCCGCCGGCCATCCGCGTCCGGCTCGAGACATTCGCCACCGAGTGTGGGTGGGATCATCTGTATGTGTACGATGGGGACAGCGTCAGGGCAGAGAGACTACTCGCCGTTTATAGGTGAAATATTAATTTATTAAATGTTCTAAGCATAGAATAAAATATTCCAATGTTTGTTTTTTTTATACTACTATGGCGGCAAACAAGCATATGTCCCGTCTGATGGTAAATGGGGTTACTTAGGAAACCTTAATATTCCCTTTTTGAAGAACCTGCAGTGTATTTATTAAGAAATTTAAAAATGTTTACGTGACATCTACTTGTTATCTTGAAAATGTTGTCACAATCGACCTATCCTCATAGATGTAGTCTTATTAAGTAAGTAATTTAATTTAGTATGCAAAAAAGATTAAGTCTCTCTTGTGCACTGCATTAGACAACTAAGCGGATTGACAACCTCAAATGCATTGCAGGGAGTCTCCAATAAACTGCCATCAGGAACGGTCTTAAACCACTTATGCCCACTGATAAGTGGTTTAAGACCGTTCCTGATGCCAGTTTATTGGAGAGGCTTATGTTCAGCAGTGGACAGTTAACAGTTGAAATGATGACACTAAATTAACTTTTTTATAATATATATTCATGTACTGTATTTATAACCTGTGTAATCCAAATTAACACCATCGCAAGAGACGTGCAAAATGGCTAAGGATCGATCGTCATTTCGGCATCGAATTCTTATACACTTCAATTCATATCTTCGTCCCAAGTTTCTTATGCGATAGCAAGAGAGGAAGTCGAAGGTCTCCATGTTTATTCTCTAATTTTCTATCTCTCTATACATTCATTCTCTAAATGGCGTGCTAATTTCAATACAACTCAAAAATATGATTGAATAATAAACATCATGGCATGTTCAAATAATATGTATTATTGAGATAAGAGAAATTTATACGAATCAAGGTCAACTAGATTTGACGACGCTATAAAGCAATCTAATCCTGCCCAAATTATCGTGAATCCTCGAGTAGTTACGTAGTATTATGAACACAAGTGCTCTAATCAAACCAATAAAATAATTGCTTCGGTCATCTGTCATTCCCGCAAGTCATTCGTAATTTTCACTTCTTATTTATTATAGTATATATCTATCGCTACGACATATGCGTATAAAATGTGATTAAATAATTCGAAATTATGTGTTCAAAAAAATTTTACAAAAATAGTAGGTATGGGATCATTATCCCTTGCTAACAAAAGTACTACAAGTGCAAACTTATAGTATAACACTTATTTGAGATACTGGCTAAGAATAAACAGACAAACAGAGTGTATACAGATTTTCGGAAAGCCAATAGATCATAAACGTCTTTAAGAAAAAATTGCGTATAACGGTATACGGGGTAAACTTTGGCGATGGTTTTAGCCATAGATAGATAGGTACTCTTTATTGTTTCCTCCATAAGATTACAATAGTAAACTTATTATAAATACAAACAATTACAAGAAAATATTACACTGAGAAAACAATGGGCGGCCTTATCGCTAAGAGAAATCTCTTCCAGGCGACCTTTGGATGGAGAAGAGTAATTAGAAACATATATTATATATCACTAACAGAACTCAGAAAGATATTAATGGATATGAATCAAATACTGTATCCATAAGTTCAGGAGTACCGCAAGGATCCAGTCAGCCCATAATGTTCACGAAACAGTGGTAAGCTCACGGTAATAGTTGACGAAGCTTCTTACACTTGGCCTATGAACAAATGGAAAATTATTCCATATCTAATCCAAATACTTACGCACGAAACGTTTTTTTTTTGGCTTTATGACAAAATTTCTTACCTTGTAATAAGGATTCTGAATGGAAATCTCCGTCAGTGATTACTACATGAGTATTATAATCTGTTGACATAATCAGGCATATAAGTTATCAAGGCGATAGTGTCTTTACAGACGTGTTGCATTTGACCTCATTTTTATTTTACTGAACTAGATGTTATCTTGCGGAAGTCTATATCACTTGTTATTTGATTAGAATTATTTGGTTTAATTCAACTACCATTAGTATATGTGTGACTGCCAACATTCGAAGATTGACCTCATTTTTACTTTCCATTTAAAGTGAGATTGTGGCAAACATCGGTATTTATTCCCGAAATATATTGGTATAGTACTAATGAGGCATGATAAATGAGATTAAAGTATTTTTACTTTAATCTCCTTAAACTTAAAATGTTGGTCCATCATGACTAATTCACCAGGAGTTAGCCGAGATAATTCAAAAGGGGCCACTTGGAAATCAATCTCATGGATAGATAGCTACCAATGGAGGGGAAGGGGATGGATTATTTGTAATAGGGTATATCTGCCCCATTGCTATATATACCTCATATACCCTATTAAATCAACTTCCAAGAGCTCCTTTTAAATTAACCATCATGGTTAATAATTTGTTGAAATACACGATGGACTAAATAACCCGTGTGATCCTCACCTATCATCCCTCGCTGGTGTTCCGCTAGTATACAAGTATACCGATAGTGCAGATGGAGCCACTATTAGCCGCTTTTTTTCATTTTAATGGGCGATAATAAAATAGTAACCCTGCCTGAGCTAACGATATACGCCGGCAGGGATGATAGGTGAGGATAAAAGTAGGTCAGTTAGCCAATCGTAACGAATTCCACTAGAATTAACCACGATGGTTTCCAGAGGGAACCGCGTGGAGGTCGGTCTGGTAGGGTGTATTGCTAGCAATAAGGCAGTTAGACCCCATTACTAACTAACAATCCCTTTCTCCCCAAACGCTAATGGAACTGTTAATCCCTATTTATAATCTTTTCTCTAATTGAGGTTGAGATTAGGATCATGAATACAATATCTGTTTGTATCAGTCTGGGTGTTTACTCTGTATGTATTTAAAAAAAATAAGTATGTTTATTCAGTACATGCTCTGCTTAGTTAGAAATAAGTGACATTGTATAATATTTCCAATGGTATTTGTTAAAATAGTATTTTACTTAATCAATATAATCTGTATTTTTAGTGGAGTACTGGAGAATGGCGAGTCGGACTGGACCCGGCAAGTGATCGCCCGCTCCGGCAGCGTACTTCTCCATTTCTTCTCGGACGACGCGTACGCTATGGAGGGATTCAACGTTACGTACGCAGCGTACTCGTGTCCATCTAACGATCACCGCACTAATTGTTCAAGTGAGTCCGTAATATAGATATGCTCACAACTGTAATCCTTGATGGAATTGTTGACAAAGTTGTTGACTTTTGACGTAATGATGCATTCATTTAATTATTGAAGAAGCTTTTGACTAATCTGTCATGTTCTATTGAATTCATCATTATTAATGGTTAGTCTCTTTTCAAAATATTGAGTAGATAATTGATATTTTAATATGTTATATATTACTATTTTATAGTTGATTTGGTCATTTGGAGAGGATGGATGAAAGAAAGATTATAAAAGAGTTTTATCGAGCACGAATGAATGCAAATGTCGGTAGAGACGGCCCAGACGGACGTATGCTGACCAAATAGGCGACGTGCTAAAAAGGGCCAAATTAATAGTACCCGTAATTGGCGCGCGTGTATGAAAATATTGATGAGTATAGAGGAAGCGAAAGAGATCAGTTTGAATCGAAACATTTGCTGTTCCATTGTTTCTGCTCATCCTAATGGGAGATAGGCGTGACATATGTATTAATATTATTTTTCTCTTAATTTGCATTATCAATTATATTTTCTTTTATTCCTGTCTACAATAGACTGATAGATGACGCTATATGGTGTTAATTCCGCCATTTACATTATCTACGTGTAATTTAAGTATAATAAATAAATAAATTCTGTCAGAGCCTCTTATTTTGATTTAAAAATTAATCTAAAAAACTGATTTAGATTGAATTTCTTTGAGACCAATCTGTAAGTATAATAGCCTTTTAGGAAAAAAAAAAAGAATTTTCCAAATTTGTTTACAACTGACGGAATTATGAGATAATGAACATAAAAAAAATCAACTGAATTAAGGACCTCTTTCTTTTTGAATCTTGGTTAAAAAGAAGTAAACATATTTCTTCAAAGTCCGGCAATACGCGCGTCCTTCGTATTGCAGGTATTTTTTGTCTACACGATAATTGCTTGCTCAGACTAACCTTATTCTTGTTTGCCACCCGAATGATATATAAAAAATCCAATAGAAAATACATTATTTTTGTCCTTCTTCCTACTAATTATTTATATTTATTTGTTTTCTTTTTTACAGATCACGGTGAATGCGACGATGGTACATGCAGATGTGAGCCCGACTGGATAGGCGTGGCCTGTGATCAACCACTTTGTCCAGGTAATTGATAATTTAAATAATTTTATAAAAAAATATTGTGTCCCATAAAAAAACTAATTTCAATTGTGACAAAATCAGTTATTTTGATTAAAAAACTAAACTACTTAATCGATTATGATAAAATGTTTATGGGACTAGTCTGTAAGTATATTGTTTCAGATAAAAAAATAATTTTCCAAATTGGTTTAAAACTGACTGAGTTCATAACTCAGTCAGTTTTAAACCGACTCAGGTAACAAACATTAAAAAAAAATACAATCAAATTGAGAACCAACTTGTTTTCGAAGTTGGTAAATAAAATTACTAAATTATAAATAATGAAATTTAAAAGAAATAAATCATAAATCATCGTAAATGTCACTAATTACTTAAATTGTTTAGTAAATCTATTATCACATATGATAATGGCAGTTGAAAGGAACAGTTAATATGTGTAAGCTAACAAAATAACAAATAAGATTTTTTTTCACTGTTGAGAGTGTGTTGTATTTTAGACAGCCCACACGTATTGTATACGGAGTGCAATATATACAGAGAAAAGTATATCAACCAAATTAATTTCCATTTTTATGGCAACATTAGACTTGCATACAAATATAATTAGTTGTATTATATTATTATCGCCTTTTGTATTGCTATATTAAAGATAATATTTACGTTTATAATTAGATTGCATTTTCCTACGATTGTACAGATGACTGTAACGCGGCATACGGTGCGGGCAGTTGTACGGAGAATGGCTGCGTGTGCACAGCCTCACGTACCGGTGAAGATTGCTCACGCGAATCGGCTGCGGCGGGCTGGCGGTGGGCATGGAAGGAGGCAGGTGCTGGCCGCGTGGAAGAGGCTCCCCCTCCCGTCACTCCACCCGCAGTCGCCGCGCATGCCTTACTCGCTTACGGTGACGACCTGCTGCGTGTCGGCGGCGAGACGTTCTCCGAAGCCGCTTTCTTGTACAGGTATGTGAATGATTTCGAATTCTGTAGGAAAGGCAAAAAAGCTACCTCAATATAGCCATTTCTCATTACTTTTTTTTTTTATAAAATATGTTGTCCATAGAGTATGTCAATATTAGTGATACTTGGCTCTTGATGGAACTTTGTATAAATTGATATTAATGTTCTTAATGTTTTGTAATAATACAGTATTGCTGTTTGTTTCTGGCATATAATGGGTTACCCCTTCTTTTCCTGTAGGTGTCTTATGAGGCGACTAAGGGAATTTAGTGGTTGAGGGATGGGTAGCAGTGTCCCTCGTAAATTATCACCAAAGCCTACATTCGATTGCTAACTCGCCTGCCAAACGTGACAAATATTGGCAAAATCCTCCTTATAGGAAGGCACTATATCTATATTATATTTAGCTGTAAAATATGTGGTTTGAAATTTATGCAATGAAAATTCACAGTACTTAAAATGTGTTAACCCTAATCTTTGGATGTGTCTCTTTGATAGGTACAAGGTGCTGGAGCGTACTTGGGAAGTGGTGGAGACGTCGGGACCAAGTCCTGCCCCACGATTTGCGCATTCGGCCATACTGCATGGTCACCAGCTACTAGTCTATGGCGGGCTCGTCGCTGCGTCAGACCCGGAACGGGGGTTAGTATGCTCACATCTTATATCCCATTGATATATTAAACCCTCAAAATTGTAAATGTTTTCCATTTACCCTTGTTTCTTGAAGCATTTGTAATCTAAGAGTGTAACATGCCCGCTAGTAACAATCCGTTCCTCCACAGGGGCGGACTGGCGGGGTTGGAGGGCCGTGCGGGGGACGCGACCAACGAACTGTGGCGGCTGCGGCTGGACACGCCGCGCCCGCGCTGGGACAACGCCACGCCCGCCGCCTGTGCGCCGCACCGCACGCCGCCGCTCCACCACTGCGGTCAGCACCTCGCCACCATTTATATTACTAAATGCTCTGCTATTATTATATAAATACAACTTTTCAATTTATTTACCGACATTGCGTTCATATTTGAAATTTTATTACATATCATGGTGTCCATGTTATCGATACATTAACATAATAATCATTACTCTCAATGCATTCTATTATAGTTATTACTAGAAAGTAAGTCCAAGAGGCAAATATACATATAATTATATTGTACTTAATGTCACGTACTTATATTTCGCAGGTGGTCTACACGTGTCGGGTCACTCCGCTGTTTTAGTGCATTTGGGTGTTACCCGCAAGCCTGTCATGCTCGTGTTTTTCGGGCACTCTCCGCATTACGGCTATCTACACACAGTACAGGTATGACCATTCTTTTAATAAAAAAAAAAAAAACAATTTTATTCTTTTACTATGTCCCATGGTAAAATAAAAAAAAAAAAACAGCTTATCTGTTGTATCACTTGTGTGTAATCAGCTCCCTTAGACATAAGACATACAAACCTATCTATACATATGTTATTGCTGCCATATTCAGGCAAATCGAGACAGCAACGTCCATTGTTGTTTTTCACGTGTGCGACGTAACGAAAATGTATCTATGGATAGACTAATCGCTTGTTCCAGGAAATTGAGCATCTGTGTAACAAATAACTGTACAGATGTCGTCTGTATTTTTGTGGCTATGTTACAGGAATACTTCATCCTGATTTTTATAATTTTTGCAATAGCAATTTAAGTTTTTCTATGCAATATGTCCACAAAATATATCAACGTTCTTTATTGAGATTTGTCACGATTAAGCTCACTATTTTCTATACTTGTAATGTATCCTTTAATAAACATTTAATTTTCAACTGACTTCAAAATAAGGAGATTCGTATTCAGTTGTGTTATTTTTAAATTGTTGTTAACTTATAAGTCTGATGTAAATTCAATTATTTATTTAAACTTAATTGACAAATATCATAAGTGTTTATAACAGACTCATATGAATAAAATTGTTTTGATTTGTTTGAACAAAATGTGACACAATAGGCGAACTTAATGCTATAATTGGCTTTCTCTACCAGTCTATTCAATGTTCAAGTTGTGCTGCGATACTGTATACATTCTTTATTCGTTATTGTACGCAAACTAAATGTTAAGAATAATCAATTTTAAACGTAATGTACATAAACGAGCTTATTTTTAATAAGAGATTTCTTCCAGCAAACTTTTTCAAATTAATTAAATTGTTATTTAAAAATAAAAATGTGTGTCATATGTCAGCATAGTGATAAGTAATGCTCCCTTAGTAGACGCTTAATACTATATTATACTTGGCGATTTATTTATTTTAAATGACAGACAATTCCATAATTGAATGGATATAACATTGTTTGTAACGTTTTGTTTTGTAGGAGTACTACATAGAGGAGGGCGCGTGGGCGGGCGCCAGTACACGCGGCTGGCCGGCGCGCGCCGGCTTCGGACACAGCGCCGCGCTCGACCCCCTCTCCGGCAAGGTGTTCGTCCACGCCGGGCTCGTATCCGAGTCCGAGGCCACGCAGGTATAACCAAATCTACCCATCAATGGGGGAAAAAGTTCAAACTGGGAGGGAAAGGAATTGTTAGAAATGGAGTTTTCCAGCTCAATTGCTTGCAATATTTTACCCTTTTAGGTCGACCTTCGCGTGGGTTCCTCTGGAAACCATCGTGAACAATTCTTGTTGAATTCGTCACGATGGGCTAACTGACCTGCTGCTCTCTCACTGGTGCCCCACCAGTGTCTATCAATAACGCGGGCGAGGTTATCACTCCATTATCACCCATTAAAAAAAAGGGGGAGAAAGGGTTTTTTTTATGCATCTTAGAATGGCAAACGAGCTGATGGTCCACCTGATAGAAAGTGGTAACCGTCGCCTATAGACATAAGTGGCACCATGGAAATAATAAAGTATGCTGTTTCGCCTATGATACCCCCCATGCGTTGCCATTCATGAGGACTCAGGTGTCATTCCTCTGTACCCTGTAGATTCATTGCCATATCCCACCTTTCAAACCGAAACATAGCCGTGCAAACAACTGCTTCACGGTAGAAACACGAATTGGACAGAGGTGCCCCAACAAACGACTTTTCTACAAAGTCTCCCTCTGATTTAAAAGTCCCACTGCTAGCCACCATCGTAATTGAGCCTTGTAGAATTTGTCACTATGAATTAATCTGCTTTAATCCAAATCTTTCACTGGTGCCCTGCTAGGGTATACCGATAGTGTAAGTGCGGTTACCATTTCATTTTCACCCATAAAAAATATATTGGACAAGGTTCGAACGCATACATCTATACCCTGTAATTTCACTTCTATATTCTATTTACAGAGCTTAATAGTATTTAAAAATTTTCAGATAGACTAATTTATATATGATGATTACAGGCACCATCATCAGCTTTATACGAGTATGACCCGGAAACTAGAGTGTTCAAGCCATTACCTTCGGCGCCTACTCCCAGATACCTACATACCGCTACATTTATATCACCGGGTGAGTTGGTCTTTTTTAGATTTCTCTACTCAATTTTTGTATAAATTACGTTATTTTTTTAAATTAAAAAAGCTTTCCAAAGATACAAATTAAAAACTTATTTTTAAGGCAGCACTAAAGTACAAGGCTTTTGTAGAAAGGTTCGGCGCCTGTCTAGCATTGGCAGAAATAAATAACATTTTTGCCATAAACCAGCAATGCTTTCATCTTATTTTATTAATAACTGTAGCAATGCTATGTGTTCTGAAGCATAAGATAGTTGAAAAAAGTAATGGCTGAGTATAATTTAAGTAAATTTTTAGAATATTTACTAAAGCTGTTTACTGATCTGGACGGACTGTTTACTAAATTTCTAGAATGAATTGTGGTGTGGTGATTCATGACCGCACCTTGTCTATAACATAGATACCTATGGAGCTGTACAAAAATCGTTAAACTAAAGGCAATGGTTTTGATATATTTAATGTTTACAGGTGTGATGTTAGTATTCGGCGGTAACGCTCACAACGACAGTGCGGCAGCGGCCGTGTCGTCAGCGCCCGCCGCCGCCAAGTGTTACTCCTCTGCTGCCCTGCTCTACGATGTCAGGTAAACTTGCTTGCAGTGTTACAGTAAACCCTGTTTTTCCAGATGTGTGGGGGGGGGGGGGAGCTTGACACTGTGAGTAAAAGGTGCATATGTACTTTCAGACGTGTCTTTGCGAAGCTTTGTTCGTACGAGTATCATAGAGTGGACACCCTTCCCCTACACAAATACGTCTATGTTAAAACTTTTTAATAATTAGGATTTATAAATAAAATCTTATATTTCTGTCGTGAAGCAGCTGTGCTTGTTGATTTTGTTTCGTTTTAAAGTGTGAAATAAGAACGTGAATTAATAGAATATGGAATGTCCTCAGGAATGGCTACTCATGAGGGGTACTATGGGCATTATTTATTTATTTATTACAGTATAATCTGTGATATCTAATATACTGTTTATATCAATTTTGTTAATTAATATTAATTGTATTGTGATTTATGTAAAGCTGGCTTTTTCCTTCCCAGTGTCAAACAGTGGGATGGTTATGGTATGGTATACTAAATGAGTTGTTATATGGAACAATATGACCAATTGTGTTATTTTGGTAATAGTATTCAATTAAACTGCTGTATTCAGCAATTATGATATGTGTATCAAATACTAGATGCGGGCGATGGGGCGCGGTGATGGCGCCAGCGGGTTCTGCGAGAGCTTCACACGCCGCAGTCCCGCTGCCGCTGCAGCCCCGCCGTTCGGTCATACTTCAAGGCGGGTAAGTGTGTACACGTCTTATCGATTATTATTAATATATTTTAAAAAGAATCAGTTTACTAATTTGTTTGTATTCTTTTTTTTCAATATCTTTTAACCTATTTTGATAATACTTTTTTTATTTGATTGAATTTGCTCTAATGCAGGTATGTTATCCTGATAGAATTTATTAATATATTATATGATTATTCAAATAAAACTAACTAATTTTTAGACAAGTATGAGATTTCTATCTAATCATCGAATAATTTCTTGACGAATGTAGTTGCTGTTTTTCTTTGAATAACAAACATTGCTTGCTAAATAATCCATTTTTGTGGATATACAACTATGTATTTTAAATTTAAATATTTCAAATCTAATGTATGAAATATATCATCATCCATTCGTGTTTTATGTATTTTAATACTAGATTTAATCATTGACTTTGTTCATATAATTAAGAACGATATCCTTTGCAATCTCAAATTTTATCATTATTGGTCGAGTCAAAGTAGCAAGAGGTAACAAACGATCTTATTCTCACCTTTGTAATAGAAGGAATTAATAATAGAAACTTTGTAATAATAGAAACAGATTACTAATATGAATTTTGACACCTCAAAAAAACTTACTGCCTTCAGTAGGTGCTTTTTTTACGGGTCGAAATCGTACTGTTTATTTTTTTATTTAATGGATATACATAATTACATCAGATTCGACGGGCGACTACGAGCGGATGCGCTGGTGTTTGAGGCCGGCGCGGCGTGCAGCTCGCTGTCGGACGAACTGGCGTGCGTGGGCAGCGCCCTTTACGCGGCCGTGGCATGCGCGTGGCGCCGCCGCGACCGGATATGCGTACCGGTAGGTTTATATTCTCTATTTACTTATTATTTTTGTACGGCTACCGTGGCACAATGGTAAGTACATTGATTTGCGTAAATGAAGTCCCGAATTCGATTCTCGATCAGGTTAATTTAGGAAATCGATTTTTCTGAATTGACTCGGATCTGGGTGTTCTGGATTGTGTCCTCAGAAGTAGCTTGGTGCCTCAAATCACATTATATTCTAGTATCACTTATTATTATTTATTATCTTGATCTATTTTCTTTCGTTGCACTATTATTAGTGCCCAATAATTTAGGTGTACATTCTGTACATTTATTCTAGAAGCATATAAGATATGAGGTATAGCTAAAAAAGATTAAATATATCCTCTTGACACATGGTAATATATAAAAGGTCCATGCTATGTTTTAAAGAGAGTTCAATTCATTCATAATTTGCATTACAAATAATCATGGGTGATGCGGTAAATTTATCTATGATTTCTATTTATTGTATCATTTACTTATCTTTGTTTCAGTTGGAGGAGATCGGTTGGGCGGAGTCGTTTGACGGTTCCGTAAGAACGTGTGTAAATGAACCATTAGATGGTGAGTGTTGTATTTTGTTTGTTTTTTTGCACCATTTTGGACTTCTCTTTTTCTACAATAGCTTAACAGCTAAACTCACCATGTTAGTAGGGGGATTTAAAATATTTGTTGATCCATTTTACTTTGCAAAATTATATTTCTTTTTATTAGCCATGTAAAAATAAACTCTTTTACATTGTTTATTGTTAATATGAGTACTAGCTATTTCCCGTCGCGTTGTCTGCAATAATCTGTATGTGAAGTATGTGTTGAGGATCCTCCAAACATTCAAATTTATTCATCTATTTACACGCAATTGAGTAGCAAATATCCAAACATATTTAGAAATTTTCACATTTACAATATTAGCGTGCTTCAGCTTCATTGTTAAAATACTCTTTAAAAGGATGTTGAAGATTGATGATGATATCAGCTTTACTATTCAATGCTGAACATAGTCCTCTCCCTTGGGGGGTTTTGCCAGTAGTTGCCACGCCTGGCAGGCCGGTTGGCAACCGCAATTAGGCTTTGGTTATCTTTTAAAAGAAATGATACTGTCCATACCTTACGACATCTACATCAAAGGAAGGGGTGGCTTATTCTATGCCGGTATTACACGACCGATAATGATTGATACAAACAATTAGTTCTTTATATGCAACTTATGAGAAGCAAACAAGCTGGCGACCCACCTGATGGAAAGTGATAACCGTCGACTATATACATGAGCAGTAGTAACCATAGACATAACAGAGTATACTGTTTCGCTCACGATATCCCTCATGTGTTGCCATGCCTGAGGACTTAGGTGTTATAGCTCTGTACCCTGTAAATTCACTGCCATATCCCACCCTTCAAACCGAAATACAGCCATACAAACACAACTATTTCACAGTATTTACTTGGTTAGAAAAATAAAATGTGTGTATTTGTACGTGTGTGTGACAGCGGACGAGCGTCGCTGCAGTAGTTCTGAAGCTGCCCAGTCGTGCTGGGCGTGTACCGCCGCCGGCTGCGCCTGGTGCGGCGCCTGCTTCGCGGCCCGCCAGCGGTGCGCGCGCCGGGCTCACCAGGTCAGTACAGCGCCGTACGAGTATGCTCACCACCATAATCGACAATGGGCTAGACAGAAGTATTTTTAAATGATAAAAATATGAATTACAACTCCATCTGCACTATTGGTATACTCTGGTATAGTGCCAGTGAGGGATGATAGGTGAAGATTAGTCAGTTGCTCCTCTGTGAGGAGTTTACCAGGATTTAATGTTAAAATTTTTAAGGGGGGACCGCTTGGAGATCAACCTGACAATATGCCCTATAATGCTAACAATGGCGCCGTTGATGATCACTACTAACGGTTCCCCCTTCTGGTATAAGTATCTACAATAGTCTTTTTGAGCCCCTGAAGAGAGTGCAGATTGGAGCTTTGAGAAGATTACTCCGACTTTTTCTGGGAAAAAGTTTAAGATTTTATATATTACTAACTGTACACGTCGCCCACGTCGTGCATATCGCTCACGGTCGGATCGTGATTTTCCTCGTAATACGAGATACTAAAGGAAAATAATTTTAAATCCGACAAATAGTTCCCGATATTATCACGATATATTAGTATAGATGTGCCCTATTCTATAACATGCATACCCCTTCTTTTCCTGTAGGTGTCGCAAAAGGCGACAAAGGAAACTTAACGGTCGAGGGATGAGCAGCAGCGTTTCTCCTAAAATATCACCAAAACATAACTACTGTTGCCAATTTGCCAAGCCTGCCAAGCGTAGCAACTACTGTCAAAACCATCTTTATTGGAGAGGCTTATGTTCAGCAGTAGACAGTTAACGGCTGATATGATGATGATTAGTTTAGTTGGCATTAGAATTGTTACTACATATGCGTGGTGTTTGCGGCGCGCGCGTACAGATGGCGCTGTCTGTGGAGGAGTGCGGCGCGGCGGCGGGCGGCGCGGAGCCGGCCCGCGAGGCCTGCGCTCGCTTCCACTCGTGCGCCGCCTGCTACGCGCACCAGCACCATCATGCACATGTTTGTATTCACTTTATACTGCATACACATAAAGAGTTAATGGCTGAAATGAAAATTATGATGATATGCTTGTAAAAGTTTTTGTTACTCAGTGACATGGGTTACACCTAAATAACTTTGTGCTATGTACCTTTGTGCAAAGTTTCATTAAAACCTTAGATGAAATGTGGTACATAAGTTGATCACATCTAGTAAATTTTTACAGCTAGTGAATGTTTTCAACAACTTTTGATGTCGTTTGCGATCTATATAATTGCTTAAAGACGACAGAAGAATATAGAAGACAATCAAACAAGATTGTTGTCTTTCAATTAAATTTTTGCTAATTATTTCTACTAGTTTTAAGTTATAAATAAATCTTTATACAGGGTACAGAAGAGTTGAGTCAGCGGCTGTGTTATTGGGATTATGACAGCGTTAAATGCAAGCCTGCCAACTCATCGGACGACATAAGGTATTGCAAGAATGCCTATATATAATGAAATATAGAAAAATATAATTGAATTTCGATTTTGTTTATTGATAGATAAATTGATATAAATGTAATTAAATTATTGGATATTACATCAATCGAACAATTTATACAATATTTGATCTGTTTGTTTTTAAAACCATAATATATATTGACATATAGCCCATTGTTTTCTCATTGTGATTATCTAATATTATGTAATAGGACAATAAAGAGTACCTATCTACATAATATGACAACATCTCAATTACCTATTTTATTAAAAATTTCGTAAGAACATATTGTAATATAAAATCAATCGCATTCTTATGTGTATTTTAAACGAGCATTCTCGACTAATCAATCTTACTTTAAAATCTTAATTAAATGCAAACTTTCGTAAATAAATCGGTAATTTTCAATATTTCTAATAGATTATTTAAAAAGTTCTATGATAGCGAACTAAATATTAATCATAGAGTTACTTGTAGTTGTACATAAACCTGCCATTAAAAATTTTGTATCTACTTTATATTTATTTTTAGAAGTTTCGAAGATTCGTTAGTACTTTAATAAGAATCTTATTGTATGGTTTATTGTTTATTTCGTCATCTGAAAAAAAAGCATTTTTAAATAATGATTCCGAGACATTGAAAATTTTTCAGATTTTTTTTTTAACGTTGGTAGGTAATTCAAATATTGTTATATTACGCTAAGTTTCGCTACTAGCACTTTTAAGATAATCGGACGGCTATTTCGATTGTAAACTTCTAACTTTCATTTAGGAGCGTGGCGACGGCAGGACCGTGCAGCGCTGCGTGTTCGTCCCTACGTACGTGTGCCAACTGCACTGCTGAGGAATGCATCTGGTGCGCGTCTGCTGCACGCTGCGTCGACAAGGTGAGATCTACTATAATCTACTGTGCCATCATATATATTTTATTAAATTAAATTCTACCATTTACTACCAAACCTTTCTGTGGCTATTAGTATTTTAGTGTATATGTTTTTATGTTCACTTGTGTATAAGTTTTAGAAAATACAAATGTTGCACCAAAACTTTGTTTGTTTTCGGGACATTTGGTGTTTTATTGTTTCTCTATTTCCTAATAGAATACGTGACTTATTAAACTTTGTATGCAAGAAAAAAATTATATACATAAAAATGAATTGTCTTTGTTATTGACCACAAAGCTTGAAAATGGCTGGACCAAAACTTCTAAAAAGGTTTTTATGAAGAGAAAAAGAAAAAGAAAGAATTTTCCAGAAAAACGTAAAAAATTCATTTTCCATTTTCTCACAAAAACTGTTCCTAGCTGCCAATTGAAATGTTTCAATCAAACATTGATATCAAACATAATCAATGCCAGAATTTGACAAACAAACGTTTGAGGGGACGCCGGCTGTCGAGTGAGCCAGTGTAATAAATAGTCTTAGATTATATAGACAGAGTGTCTCCATACATATGCTTCGACAAAAGTGGATCAACTTTTTCATACAATTCTGTGTGATAAATAGTTATTAGTATTTTCTTTATAACTTTTGTATTTATTTTGTCTTATAATTTCTTTATCTTTTTAATATGTAAACACTTATTTTATTTATTAAATAATATGTCAAGATACATTTTACGTGCAACTATATAGGACATTAATTAAAAAAAATTGAATCAGCTAATTCGACAATTAGCTGAGTAAAGTAAGTAAAGTCGAGTCGTTTTTGAGACTCGATGCTGCCCCGTGTAGGTGCAAATTGAAAATCAGCGCTGAACAAACATCAGTCCGGCAAAAACTGAGTTTGTACCTATTGCCAGGCGCATACGAAACTGCACAACATATTGATTAATAAATATATGTAGATTATAATTTCTGTGAAGAATGGCAATAAATTTAATTACTATTGTTATTATTTTTTAAATTTTACAAAAATTCTCATCTCCCCTCTTAAAAAGAGGAGATGGCGACTAACCCCCGGCAGAAGCACAGTCGGCCGGGGTTCAGGGCCCCAGGAAGAGAAACCGGCGTACAGAATCTAAGAGCATCGCTTTCTGCATCTTTCCCGGAAGTGAGCCGCCTCGGAATTCCAACTGTCTGAGATGTTGTTCCAGACTGGTTGGGATAAGACCGTTCACCGACATAATGATTGGAATGATTTCGGTGGATGTCACCCCCCACACGGTCATCTCGTGAGCCAGGTCGAGATATTTTCTCTTTTTCTCAGTTTCGGCTTTCACGAGGTTCTCGTCATACGGTATGGTGACATCCACCAAAAACACCCTCGAGAGTGCCCGACACATCACCACGATATCAGGTTTGTTCGCAAGAACGGTCCTGTCCGTGATGATGGATCGGTTCCAGTAGAGCCTGACGCTGTCGCTTTCGAGGACCGGCTGGGGTTCGTACTCATAGTATGGCAACCTCTCATTCGCGAGGCCGTACTTCAGAGCTAGCTCTTGATGGAGTATTTTGGCTACTTTGTTGTGTCTGTGCAAGTACTCAGTGTTGGCAAGAGCTGAACAACCCGAAAGCACATGTCTGAGTGACTCACCGGGATGGCGACATGCCCGACAGATGTCCTCAGTGCCATCCTTCAGAATGTGCTTTCGGTAATAGTTCGTCTTAAGCACCTTATTATGATCTATATATATGTAAGTAAATGGTAACGTGTGCAGAACGCGTACGGCGCGTCGTTCCCGCTGGGCGGGTGCCGCGCGTGGTCGACGAGCGGCGGCGCGGCGTCGTGCGGCGCGGGCGCGGCGGCGGGCGCGGCGGCGGGCGCGGGGTGCGGCGCGCACGTGTCGTGCGCCGCGTGCCGCGCCGAGCCGGCGTGCGGCTGGTGCGACGACGGCGCGGGCGGCGGCCGCGGCGCCTGCCTGCCCGGCGGCGCGAGGCGTCCGCACGCGCCGCGCGTCTGCGCACAGCACAGGTACCTGCTACGCGCATACTTTTTTTTTTATTGAATGAAAATGGAATGGTAACCCCGCCTGCGCTAACGGGATACGCTGGCGGGGCACCAGTGAAGGGTGATCGATGAGGATGAAAACAGGCCAGTTAGCCAATTATGATGAATTCATCTGGAATTAATCATGATAGTTTCCAGGGGGAACCGCGAGGAGGTCGACCTGGTTGCTATGGGATTCTCAGTCTCCATTACTGCTCCGCGCATACTATAGGCCCGTATTCAACTCGCGATACTCTTACCCTTCCAGTAACCCACACCTTTGTATATAATAATCTGTCATATATTGTGTATGCACAAAATATGGCAGAAAAAAATGCACGTAATTTTTCAAGTTTTTACTTTTGTTGTATCTTCACTGACAATTTTTGTTTTTATTGGTATTCATCATGCGATTAATATTTTATATTAACGACACACCAGCGTGATTATGTAGACCATTTTTAAATTGTCTTTATCCTATCCCAACAGCAGTTAACTGTTCAATACTGCTCATAGGGGGGGGGATTGTCCCAGTAGTTGCCCATCCCTAAACCATTAAGTACCCTTAATCACCTCTTACTTGTAAGTATCCTCTATAATTTAACCTTAAATACATTTTATTCAACAGATGGCACTTCACACGGTGTCCAGCGTGTCAGTGTAACGGGCACTCGATTTGTGACGCGGCTTCGCGCTGCATGCAGCCATGTAGCGGCCGCGCGGTCGGCGACCACTGCGAGTCTTGCGCGCCCGGACATTGGGGAAACCCGCTCAATGGCGGCGTCTGTCAACGTAAGTAGCATTCTTCATATAATGTTGTAAATTCTATTAATATATATATATATATATATATATATATATATATATATATATATATATATATATATATATATATATATATATATATATATGAACTTATTAATATTGTTTAATAATATAAATTTACCAATATTAAAAATGATAAAGTTGATTTAAAGATGTTAGACGTTTACTAATCCCAAATACCTGAACGGATTTTAACAATTAAATTTGGTACACTGATGAACTAATTAATAGGTGACGCCTACGATTACGGCTAGTAATAAATGTTATAAATATGTAGGTTTTTAAATTAATACTCAACTTTAATATATTTAATACACAGATGGACATATATAAGATTTTTTTTTTTCTAACTAAAAGCTATCACGAATAACAAATGGTTTGATCAGTTGATTAATGTTACTGTATTATAAGATTTTTCATGTCTGAATTAGTGCTTTAAGTCATCAAAATGAAATTTAAATTTCTTCATGTTATATATTAGCGTGCGAGTGCAACGCTCAAGCGGTGGCGTGTGCGCCCGACACTGGTCGCTGTTACTGCAGCACGAAGGGGCTCGCGGGCGACCGCTGCGACAAATGCGACAACACCAACCACTACCACGCCGACTTGTATAATAAGGGCGCCTGTTACTGTACGTATTGTTTATGGTGTTATCCCCATTGATGTACAAAATCTATGATTCTCCCGCTTCCTCTAAAACACATGTCGCAAAACATATGTCAGAGATATGCGTTACACACATACACATACGTGTGACATTATACAAACAAAAATTGTTTCATTATTGTTGGAAGGGAACAATAAAGAGTTTTCATGCATTTATTCATGTTTTATACTTGTATGATACATGATTTATTACAGGGGAAATGAGATGTTAACATACTTTTTTATATTTTAATTTAATAACTACCAGTTTAATTTACGTGTAATTAGATCGAAAAAGCTCGACTAGTTTCGTAATTAATTCGTGACTCTTAGTCATGAGTGACAGTGACGCGAACACGAGTCTGATTGCGTGATTCGGCCCGCTGTCAAAAGATAAACCGTTAGTATTAAATTAAAATATAATGTATGCTTACGAAACTGTTAACAGTCTTTTATATTAAAAAAAAAAAATTATAAATAATTTCAAAAGGAAGTTATTACTTCCTAGAGTTGTTAAAAATAGAGTACTATTGTACTCTATTTTTTTTTGTGTAAACATATGGACTAAAAGTATATATCGCAATGTGTTCCCTAATTATTAATTAACTTTGGTAATACAATAGAGAGAATTTCCGTGATGTTGCCATATTGTTTTTGTCACATAATTATATTTTTATAATTATTTTTAAGTTACTATAGTAACAATCGTTTTACAGATGACTTAGCAGTGGATTACCAGTTTACATTTAACTTATCAAAGAAAGAAGATCGCCACCTGTCGGCGATTAACTTCAGAAACGCGCCGGTGAAACCGGACGTAGACGCGGATTTCAGCATCACGTGCTCAGCGCACGCTCGCATGAACCTTACCGTACGCACGCGCAGCGAGCCCGCTGAACGTACGCTCTTCAGTGACGTCAACTGCACCAACTTCCGGTACAAGTGAGTATGTCCGTCCACTCTAAATTCCAACGTTTTAAAACTGTATGTATCTCTCGAACATAGTACCCGACACATCTGCGAGCGACGTACTTACCAATGTTCGTATTAGAATGGATAGGCACGTACTTTTTCCTTCAATAAATCATTTATTTGCATAAACATTTCTTTTTTCTCACCTTACTATTGTAGTCAAGTCTCACAAGCGTCCTACCTTACCACTTGTGCGTTCAATACGCTTAATAAGGAGTACCTACCACGCATAATATTTTTAAACAACTTAAAAAAAGAAGGAGGTTATATGTTCAACTATATATTTATTTCTTTAGTTACTTGTAATATATCAAATTCCAGTATGCCATTTCACTCAGTATGCCACATTATAATACATTTGGATTTTAATATAAAGATCATGTCTACTTTTAGCAAACTTCTAACATATGACCTGTGGTACAACAATTTATTCTACGTAACAATCTACTTTTTCCGCATGATATCACGGGTTCGCCGAGCCAATGCTTTTCAGTAAAATTAATTGCTTTAACATCCAAATATAAATGTTTACGTGCATTCACTCTGTACCCCGCATTCTACATTCCGGACTTTAGTATTACGAATCCGTCGCCACTATAGTTTTCAGCAAAACTAACTGAATTAACTTCCTATATATCATCATCATCTTCCCACCTTTATCCCAATTTATTTGCGGTTGGCGTAATATGTTTTTTATTCATATTACAAGAAGATTTGGTTTATAGTTTTACTACCGGCTGCCTATATCAACTATCAACTTCCTATATAAATGTACTTAAAAAAAACAGTTAATATGTGTTGTATCATTATTAGACGGTGACAATAAAGAGTTTTTCATTCATTTATTCATTCATTATACATTAAAAATATTAAGGGCTAGCATCATGTTAGGCCGACCTTTGGTGCTTGTTCAACCGCGACGAAACTCCAGGTTCAATTGCTACTCTCAGTCATACTATGCGGTCATTACGTCGACATGGCACCACGAAACGTTGGCACCCGTCGTCTACTCTGTCATCCACTGATTTAGGCACGCCGCAATGCATGTTATAGGACGCACCATACTCAGTACATGGTTTGAGTTGTCAGCACGCGACCAAAAGTATCCTAACTGTGGCCTAATAGTTTATTTGTAACACTATATAAAAAATTCAACATAACAACGCACAGAGCGTTCCATTACAGGTTCGCGAAGTCGGAGCATTCGTTCGGCGTGGAGGACAACGTCACGCTCACCACGTTCTTCGTGTACGTGTACGATTTCCGACCGCCGCTGTGGATACAGATATCGTTCTCGCAATACCCGAAGCTCAATCTGCAGCAGTTCTTCATCACGTTCTCGTCGTGTTTCCTATTGCTGCTACTGGTGGCGGCGGCTTTGTGGAAAATTAAACAGGTAACTAGTATATTGTATGGAGAATGATGGACGAACTTGCAATTTAATTACGGTTTAATGAATCTCAGGCATTGATATAAGATTTAGATTGGGCATTTAAAATCCTATACAATTAGTCTTAGTAAAAGGCATGCCATGTGTCGTATTTTCGGTGTACGAAGAGTTTATCTCTGTATTTAATAAGTATTCAACTTAGAATGGCAAATAAGCTGACTGTCCATATAAATATACTTGTTTATACATATATATCATGAGAGTATATTGGCTCTTTAGATCAAAGCGACCATGCCATTCGAAAGTTTATCTATCCTTATACCAATTTACGGAGTAGACAGAAAGAGTCGAGTCTCTAAAGGTCTAACAACTCGCTTTATCCAGATTCATAACTCGTCGGTACATATAGTTTAATTAAATTGGATGTATGGCGTTTTTTCGACAGAAATATGACCTGTATAGAAGAAGACAGCGGTTATTCGTAGAGATGGAACAAATGGCGTCGCGACCATTCAGCCAAGTTTGTGTTGAAATGGAGCGGGGCTGGATGGGGGGAGGTAAGATTTGTTATCCTTAACAATGTACTAATCCGTTAATATTATGAGTTTAATATGAATTCTTTATTAAATTCAGCTTAATATTTGAAATAAATCATAATTATGGTGGTACCTATTCGAATTCAATTAAGTTGACTCAAAATCACTCTCGCAGGCTAATTACGTATAAATTAGCAATTAGAGATCACAGTGTCATAATTTCTCCACTGTTAAAAATGTTTAAGTAGCAATAGATATAACCGATACAAAAAGATAGCTTTAAAAAATGATTTCTTTTTAATTATGAGCTGCGGTGTGGTTCGATACAATTAAATTGGAATCAAATCTAAATCATATTGTATAGATGTTAAATATAAACTAAGGTAATTTTTGCAAACACTTGAAATCAATCGTATACTAACTAGAAACACAAAACTTTCATTTTTAAACATTTCATAACTAACTAAAATTAGTGCAATTCTCTATTATAATAACAAAGTGATTTCGTTTTTATCCGAATTCGATTACGTGTAAATCACCTACATGGAGTTAACATCAGTCCATTGTCCGCCAGGGTGCGGAGTACCAGCCCCGGTTGCACTAGAGCCGTGCCGCGGCGGTCGGGCGGCGGTGTTGTCGCTGCTAGTGCGGCTGCCGACCGGCGGCACGGGCCGCGCGCCGCCGCTGGGCGGGCTGGCCGTGGCGTCCGCGCTTGTCACCCTCGGTCACCACCACGCGCCGCCCGCGCCCGCCAAACGGCCGCGGCACCACTGACGGCCAGCTACACTACCACCGCTGCACAGGTACGTTTGTTAATGGATGATAATGGAATTATAACCCTGCCTGTTTTAACGGTATTGGTTGGCGGGGTACCAGTGAGGAATGATAGGCAAAAATAAAAAGGCAAGTCAATTAGCCCATCGTAATGAATACGTCTGGAATGTAGTACAGTGGTTTCTAGAAAGATTATTTATCCCATACCCTACAACCTAAACCGTTACGTTCAATGAAAAAATGGCATTTACTTTTTTAATATACAATGTATATTTGCTGGGCCCAGGTTCCATATATTTCCGAGTCACCTTTGATTGGTCAATTATTAATACCTTTAATTTGTCGACTGGTCGCAACACAGCATTCATGTCTATAAATAATCGACTTGATTGATTGTAGTTTTAGGGAAATGTCATTTGAACATTGACTCCGACTGTTATCTTACATAATATTTTCTTGTTTCAGATAAAAACACCAATGTATATAAGTACGTATAGTTAGGTGCTGTATATATGATACATTTTAGTGCATTGCTCAAACCGTAACGTTTGGAAGATAATACTCATTATTTTTGTGCAACCGGAAGGTTAAATAAAAATAGATCTTATATCAAAGCCTGATGAAATAAGATTAAACAGTACCTTCACATAGTAATTTAATATATTTCTACAACAATTTTATTTCGCAACTTTCTTTTTAATATTATTTATTTACTTATATAATTTCTCTTTTAACTTAATGGTATTTATTATATTTATATGTATCTAGACGGTTATTATTTAATCTTATATCATTCGAAATGTCCAAAAATGTTAAGTGAGAACATTTTAAGACCGCGGACTTAACAGTCTGATAGGGATTTTAGTGAACGTGGTTGATCTTTGATAATGAGTGTATTTATATTACGGTAAAGTTTATTATTGGTCTATAAATTCTTTATTTTTACCTCATTCCATTTTTGACCACGTTCAATTAAATCTTACGCAAATTTAATTTAGGTATCTATCTAAGTGCAGTATAATTCACAAAGTGATCTTTATTATTGCGTATATGAAAGCAATTAATCCTGTACGCAGGGATTCCAAATAACAAAAAAAAAAAGGGATTTTCGGTATGACTCGAATTCGCCTCTTATTACTAGTAAGTATACATGTGGGAAAAGTCAATGTCAACTTTTATAAGTGTTATTTTTATGGCGAAAAATAGGTTGGAACCGCAAATCGTGATCTTCCTGAATTATCAAATAGTGCAGTCGTGCACTAATCAGAAAAAAAATATCAGTAGATTCAATACCATTATCCAGAATATGACAAAGATAGTTATTTTTCTGTTTGCGATGTACATAAGACGGTAACATAGAAATTGCATATATTTGGTACATTTATGAAATATTAATCAGCGCGTCTCCCGTGAATTTACAGAATTCACTACGTTAAATATTGTTACAAAACAAATAGCAATACTAGTGCAGTGCTATAGATATTAAGATATCGAAAACACATGCTAAGTACTGTGGGTAATACGACATATCGAATAAAACTACCAATGTATCACAAATACTTCCAAAATAAGATAGAGAGAAGTAAATCTGTCATCACTCTATTGGTTTTATATAGAAGCTTGATAGTAATGTTTTAAAAAGGAGTTTTACAGATATACTGTCGCATGTACAGTCAGTATTAAAAGTCGATGAACAAAATACAGATTTTTAAATTTCCTAAAAATCGTATTCTTAAGACACTCCATTACTTTGACGTTTTAATTTAGTGAACATAATAACAGTCAGAATTGGTTGAATGTAACGCAAAGTATAAGCATATGGTACAAAAAATTCGTCAAAAACTTAATATGGACATTTGATGCTGTCAGTCAGTACCTTTAATGTAAATGTATGTAAAACCAAGCATGCATTATTCTATAAAAACAAGTTAAAAAATTCTTTTTTTGGCGACATACCTATTCGAAGACACTGTCTAAAATGCTGTTTTTAGCTGAACCAAAGTAGCAACTATGGAACCATAGAAATATATAAATACGATCATCATTAATATTTAAATTTGTCTATGGTTTTGTAAAACATTGATATTTTGTAGTATACATTTTAGTGAGGTCACATCACTAATATGCATAGAGTTTAAGTTTCAGCATGTAGACAATTTTAGTAAAAGTGCGCTAATCGTGTCGGATTTGTTCCAGATAATACATATTTTATATTGTGACATTGTCCATTGGCTGTACAAACTACTCCGTATAAGTATTTACGAGTACTCAACTGATAATACTGCATTCAAGAATTTAATATTGCCATCATTAATATAAACACAGTTAAATGTACCTACTAGATTTTTTTTTATTTAAATGTGTTCCTTGAATAGTGGAGTTAAAATATCACATATTATTTAGTAGTTATTAGATTTTATAAAATCATAAACTTCCGGTTACGAAGTTGCCAAATAGTTATATGTATAATACTGTTATATGCACATTCACTTAGAAATCTTAGGCAGCTAGTATTTTGCAGTCGAGTAACATATATGGGCATTCGTAATAAAGTCCGATTTAGTTTGTTTTTTTTAATTTTAATATAGGTTGTCTTATTTATTTTTATACTAGCTTAAGAAGTTTATATTCTCTTTTTTATACTTGGCACATTTAGTGAATAATCTTAGGATGTCTTTATATATTGAATTTGGTCGTATAAATATATATAAAAAGAAATAATGTGCGGTATACATAGTCAATTAAAAAAAAAAAAAAACTTTTTATTTTAATCGTTTCTTCATTTATAATTCTGTTGTTTCAATAAAAGACAAGCAAAGATTGTTTACAAAATTTCCAAATATAAAAAAAAAAAATTGAAAACGTGTACGTTTTCTACGTTTGCTTGTAAAAGTGAATTTTGCAATTTTTATACTAAACGTTAAGATAATGTAATGAGTAATAGTATTGATCATTTCCTATAGGCTGAAATACATCACATGTACAGGATATCGTTCGTGATATATGTAGTGCACTAGTCATCGAGCGTCATGCGATTATGTTAAACTAGTTTAAAGTATTGACACTATTTCATATTTGAGATCCGCCATTGGAAAGTTTTATACATCACAATCGAATAGATATTTTTAACTTATTACATATAGAATAAATATCTACACTACTGTTTTATTTTTATTTAACGCAATAATTTTCGTAATTTTGAGTAAAAAGTATAGGAAAACTGTTATTTTATATCTGTTATGAACTGTAAAATATATATGAATTTTTAAGAATTGTATAGCTTTGTAATAAGGTTTATTTTCACACTTATTATGACACCGACGGCTATAGTTTATTAAGTTTTTTTTTTTTTTATTTTATTAAACTGGGTTGTATTAAAAATAGCGAATAGCGTTTCAGTAATCGATTTTAAATAAACATTTTGGATTTAGTTTATACTATTATATTGTATTTCTACATAACCTGCTTAAAATATATTACAAAAAATAACTAAATTCGAATGAGTAATTGGCTGAAAATATTATTCGTAAAATACTTAGAATTAAAAAACATACTCGGATCTACGTCTGGTAAAAACTTTATTCGCGTTAAGTAAATATATTTACATTTATTATTATTATACTGAGGAAGTGATCATTATTAATAGTCGATCAAATACTAAGTAGTAATAATGATTGTATTACGCAACTCAGAATTCGACGGTTAACCACCGATACTTCCTAACTGGCATTTATAAAATAGTTGTAAAAACTTTTTCTTACTTACAATCTTTAAAAAGTTACATAAAATAATAATTCGTACTCTGATCAAATTGTTTATAATTACTCCTCTCCATCCAAAGGTTGCCTGGAAGAGATCGCTTTTCGATCGAAGGTTTGTTTTCTCATTGTGATTATTTCTTGTAATTGTTTATCTATATTAAGTTTTCTTTCTATCTATCTAATTTTGGCTTCAATATATGTATTGAGATTTTATCTTAAAATCAACTAATTTACTTTCTAATTTCATCATATTTGTAATGAATTTAGAATTAAGATGTTGAATTTTAGCTATATTGGCGGTTAACCGTCGAATTGTCAGTGTCACTTTATACCTTAGTACTGTATAACAACGATGTAACTTCCATCATCACAAAACTTTATTAATAGTATATAATGTGTACGTAAAAATCACTATTACACGTAATATTAGATGTAAATAGTGGCTTTGACAAGACTATTGTATTTTTCTTACGACTGATGTGTAAATGGTGTATAAAAGATTCCTTTTGTATGTATGCATTTAGTTGATAGATGTTGTGTCATATCAATAATTATTTTGTAATCTTAGTCAGAATCCAGAAATCGAGGAACAAGGAAATCCGCCTAATTTATAATGTAATTTTAAATGACAGATTTTTGTTTTATACAGTGTGCATTTATATTATCTGCATAATTGAAATAATCAACAAAAGATTAATATTTTTTTTTTTACTCGCAGAAAAAGTCAAAGTCTCCATAGATATTTAGTTTGTATGTTACATTACATTTATCTACATTAAATCAAAAAGCGAATGTTGCGTCAGTTTGACTATTTGGATAGGATGGATGAAAGGATATACTTACAGATTGATCGTATAGAAATTTTATCAAAATCGAGTTAGAATGCTATAATGTAGAATTAATAGTAGATCCTTTCAAGGGAGTATTTCACCAGTGAAACTTAATATTTTTAAAGAGGAAACATGGGTTGGGAAACTATACAAACTTTGAGCTTTCGAATGCAATAAAGTATTGGTATTCTAGAGAGAAGCATATGGAGAAAGCGTAAGCCTATTTGCATGTCAGAGTGGAGTCTTTCTGTATAACTTATCGCTATACACACCCTATTTGTAATATAATTCATTCACGTTTCTTGCAAATGTAAATTATTTTGTTTATGGACAAATTTGATTAAACTTTTTTTTTTGTAAATATGGATTATGACGGAAATTAGACTTAAATTGAGACACAACATCTATACGTAGTTTAAACTATTTGTATTATAGTCATGTATTCGAAATAAACTTATTTTGTTGAGAACATATTCGATTTAATATGAAATATTAGAAACCATTACTAGCTTTATATGTCATTTTTATATTTTTCTCAGCAAATTTAGTATTAATGTAATAAATTAGATTTACTGCCAACATTTTAATGCTTTCTTTGATGAAATGTTTAGAAGCATTCAAGTCCTACATCGTATTTGTAAAGAGTAAGTTTTTTGTTTTTATTAAAGCAAGAGTTTATAGAGATAGGTATGATAAATGAAATAATTATATTCTGGATGCAAATTCCAACGTTCATTAAAACTTCCAGTCGTTTGTTTTTATACGAGTAGTGTACCTATTGCTTCCTTGTATAAGAAATTTGAGGTTTTATAAAGATACGAAATACGTCAGACTACACACAACATCACAAATTTAGAATAAAGTTTGTTAAAAATATTAAATGATCTCATCATTTTTTTTTTACATTCGTAAATGATTTATTTGTAAAGGTTATTAAACAATTAGAATAAAATTTTGTAATTTCTTATTGCATATACCCGGAACGTATTTTAAAAACAATTTACAAATAATTGTTTCTGTCATTGTTGAAATTTTGTTATTGAGATTTTCAATCGGTAAATATATAAAATATGCTCAAGTTTTATGAAAGTAAAAATGCTAAAATATTGCGCCACAAATAATTTATTTAATAAAATCTTAATATGATTTAATTATAAAAATGTTTGATTGATTTTTTTAGTTTTAAATTGTACAATAAAATGTCTATCCTTAAGCCAAATCCCTAAAAATATAGGCAATGAAAACAGAGTGCCAATACCTTCAATTCTTTAAATATGTTCGCGACATTATTTGTATATATGTAATCATAATTTATAGTTGTTAAGTCCCTAGTTAATCGTTTCTGTATTCTGTTATTTTATATAGATTTACATAGATTTAAGATAGTGTAAGTTAAATAAAGTATTCCTTTGCGTGTTGTCGTTATTACCTACGAATAGAAATTGTAACAATAAATAGAATTAAGAAATTGTAAATTGAAATAAAATAAATAAATAGACGCTATAGAGTACCGATCTGAAGAGACACGCGTCTCGTTCATTTTCGCCCCGTCCCGCTCGCACAGATCGCTATCGCGAGTTGGAAACGTTATCGTGCGAGCGGGCGGGTATAAAGATAGGCCGCCTCCCGTCGAGCGGCATTCGCTTCCGGGCAGCGACGCACTACACTCGAGAAGAAATAGGACAAGAAGAAAAAATACTCTCTTCAGACGGTACCGGAGGCTTCAGAATAGTAATCGCTGTGTTTCACTCCAGCCTGAACCAACGCCCCTACAGTCCACGCTCACCGTACGGCAGTCCACACCGTTCATCGTGGTCCTTCGAGAAGCCGGATTGCTGGAGGAACACCGTTGGTACATCGAGAAGCCGGATCGCTGGAGGAAGACCATTCTGAAGCCGGATCGCTGAAATGCCGACTACGAGAAACATGAAGTCGTCGCAACAAAAAATCGCCGTCACCGAAGCCACAACGTCCGCCGCCACCACGTCGACTACGGCCGCCGGAACGCTGTCCGTCGCTGCCACGCCGTCCGTTGCTGCCACCACGTCGTCTGCGGCTGTCAGAATGCCTTCTGTCGCTGCCACGTCGTCTACCGCCGCCACCACATCGACTACGAACACGTCCGGCGATACGACGACCACAGGAGCCACGGAGACTACCGAAGCCACAGGAACGACAGAGGAGACAGCAAGGAAGAAGGAACCGAAGCACGGCACGGCACGCACGGTTCGCACCACGGCCTCGCAGAAGAAGAAGGCTCTGGCCAAGGCACGGGAGGAGCTACTTCGAAAGGAGGTGGAATTGGCCGCCGCACGTGTCGCCGCCCTGGAAGCCGAATCAGAGGACGACGAGGAAGTAGAAGACGACGACGCTACCGTCAGAAGAGAACGAACGTCGGATTGGGTTCATCGAAGCACGCTGGCACTCACGATGGAGCCGCATGTACCAGAGATAGAAGAAGTCACCGGCAAGCGTCAGGGGTTCGTCCCATCGAGACCCGTTGAAGAGGATTCGAGAGCGCCGCCGCCACAGCCGAGCAGCGACGCACTTCACCGGGACCACGCACGCCACGTTGACCCACATGCCGCCATGCCTACGATAGCAGCAGCGATGCAGTCGATGAAGAAAGAAGAACCGGTGCTGAAGGTGGGCATCGATTGCAATGAGTTTGCGATCGCCATGCAGATGGCCGCTCGCAACATACTGCCCTCCACAGCGTCAAGAGTCACCGAGTTGCCAGTCTTCAATGGATCGTCGAGCGAGTGGTTACCATGGAAGATGGCCTATGAAGAGAGCGCAAGTCAACTCACAGAACAAGAGAACCTAGCAAGACTGCGCAGAAGTTTTTTATTCGTCGGGTCTACGACCGCAGAAGAAGTGATGAAGATGTTAGCCGCGAGGTTCGGCCGCCCTGGAGCACTCGTCACAGCCGAACTGAACAAACTCCGCGCGCTACCACGACTCTCGGACAACGCAAGAGACGTCTGCCTCTTCGCAAGCAAGGTGCAGAACGTCGTCGCCACGATACGAGCGCTGAACAAGAGTCACTACCTATACAACGAAGAAATAGTGAGAAACGTCACAGAGAAGATGCCGTCGGTACTACGCTTCAAGTACTACGATTTCGCCAACGACCAACCGGAGGGACAACCGGACCTCATAACACTCTCTCAGTTCCTGCAAAGGACCGCCGCACGATGTGGAAACTTCGCCCCCGCCGAGGAGATACCGTCCGAAGACCGGCGGGAGTCCGCTCCTAGGAAGACGGCGAAGACATACGCGACGCAGGAAAACCCGCTACACCACCGTGCCCGATGTGTCGACGAGAGGGACACGCTCCATCGGACTGCAAGACGATGAAGGAAGCAGACACATCGGCGAGATGGGAGTTAGCGAAGACTCATAGGCTGTGTTTTCAAAGTAAGAAGATTTCGCCACGCCTGCAAGAGCAAGAGATGTGGAGTAGATGAGTGCACGCAGACTCATCACCCTCTGCTGCACACCACGCGACAACAGCCGGAGAATGAAGTAACGACACACGTCGTCGAGGACAAGTCCGCCGCAGTCACCGCATCGGCAAGGGAAAACGACAAGATCGCGTTCCTGAAGATCCTGCCGATACGAGTCACCGGTCCCACGGGAACGTGCGACACCTACGCGCTACTGGACGACGGGTCGACTTGCACCATCATCGAGACGACGGTGGCGGAGCGAATCGGTGCTACGGGTCCCCCCGCACCATTCTACATGGAAGGTGTGGCCGGGGCACGGATCAAAGCTCAATCGACGCGTGTTCACTTCAAGATCCACGGGCGGAATTCACAAGAATACACAGTGGGGGCACGGACGATGGACAGACTGCAGTTATCACCGCAGTCGGTACCACGCAGCGTCATCAAGGGCTGTCCACATCTTAGAGAGGGAATTGGTCTATGAAGAGGGCAAACCGACGGTACTGTTGGGGCAAGACAACTGGCACCTACTGCTGGCCCACGAAGTCAGAAGAGGATCCGACACGCAGCCGGTCGCATCACTCACCGACCTGGGATGGGTACTGCACGGTACGAGTCGCGGCAGGACAAGACAGCAGGTGCACAGAATCAGCCACATAGTGACGACACATGAAGAGGAACAATCGATGGAAGAAATGATGAAGCAACATTTCGCGCTCGAATCGCTGGGAATCGCACCGAAGAGATCTTACAATGAAGAAGAACGTCGCGCCCTACGCATCTTAGAGGAGAAAACTCGTCCGTTACCGGCGGGAGGATACGAGACGGGGTTATTATGGAAGAAGGACGACCCTGTGCCGCCGGACAACTACGACTCGACGATGCGACGTCTCCGACCGGTCGAAAGGAATTTCGACAAAAATGAAGAACAGTGGCCGCGTGAAGATAGTTCGAGCGACGATAGTCAAGCGGAAACGGGAGAAGAACGCGTACACAAGCTACAGAACGCGACGCAGTTGTCTATAGCATTACCCGATCCGTCACGTTTTTCTAATTGGTTGAAACTTGTTCGCAGCTCAGCACGAGTGTTGCAGTTCATCGACCTTCTGCGACCGACCAGTCAACGCTGTACCGCCATCCGAAAGAGAAACAAGAAGAAAGAGAGCGCCGACCCCACTTGGACCCGCACGAAGAAAGTCGATAGAGAGAAGACGAAGATGAAAATCAAGAACAGCAATAGTCCATCTGTGTGTTTCATCCCCATAGACACACACTACCTTCGCGCGCGACGGCTATGGATTCGCGCGATGCAACAAGAGGCGTTCGGCGACGAAATCGCAGCATTAAAACGAGGGAAACAGCTGCCGTCATCCAGTCGACTCATACAGCTGTCAGTCGTCATAGACAACGACGACATTCTGCGACTTCGATCGAGAATAGCAGCCGCCGCCGATCTGTCAGCCGAGCAACGAGAGCCCCCCATCGTCGACGGAAACCACGCCTGGGTGCGCCTATACATCGCATGGGTGCATCGGAAAACCACGGCGGCTTCGAGATCACCACGAACGAGGTGCGACAACACGTGTGGGTGTTGCGCCTACGACACGCCGTCCGCAGTGAACTGAAGAGGTGTCAGCGGTGCCGCCTACGAAGAGCAAGACCGGCGCAGCCATCAACGGGCAACCATCCACATAGCAGGCTGGCGCATCATCAAACCGTTCACGTTCACCGGCCTAGACTACTTCGGGCCTATGACCGTGACAGTGGGCCGCACTCACCAGAAACGATACGGAGTGCTCTTCACCTGCCTAACGACGCGCGCAGTCCACCTAGAAATCGCCGGCAGCCTCAGCACGGACTCCGCCATAATGGCCCTGCGGCGCTTCATAAGCCGCAGAGGGTGTCCCACTGAGCTATGGTCCGACCAAGGCACCAACCTCAAAGGTGCCGACGTCGAACTGAAGAAAGCAGCCGAGGAAGCCATCCAAGAAGAGTCATCAGTTCATTTCATCCGGTGGCGCTACATTTCCCCGAGCGCACCCTTCATGGGAGGTGCGTGGGAACGGCTGGTGCGTAGTGTAAAGACCGCACTAGCCGCTACGTTGAACGAGCGGGCCCCCAAGGAAGAAGTCCTCCACACTCTGCTGGTCGAGGTCGAGCACACCCTCAATAGTCGACCGCTAACCCACGTGTCAACATCGGCAGACGACGACAGCGCCCTAACCCCCAATCACTTCATATTGGGCGGTCCATCGCGCGTCCCACTGCCAGGCAGCTTCACAGAGAGCGACGCGGCGGGACACAAGGAGTGGCGTGCCAGCCAGAGGCTAGCTGACTGCTTCTGGAACCGGTGGGTGAAGGAGTACCTACCCGAGTTGCAACACCGGCGGGAGCCCCGAGCTACACACGGAGCCATCAAAATGGACGACCTGGTCCTGATAGCTGATGGGACCTTGCCTCGCAACACGTGGCCGCGAGGCGTGGTGGTGGCGACCTACCCTGGACCAGACGGCGAATTCGAGCGGTCGACGTGCGGACGAACCAGGGCATCCTACGGCGACCCACTAAGAAGCTGATCATACTGCCCAGATCGACATCGAGCGACGCGAACACGAGTTAACTCCAGCTACGAGATGCGGCGGGAGATTATGTTCGCGACATTATTTGTATATATGTAATCATAATTTATAGTTGTTAAGTCCCTAGTTAATCGTTTCTGTATTCTGTTATTTTATATAGATTTACATAGATTTAAGATAGTGTAAGTTAAATAAAGTATTCCTTTGCGTGTTGTCGTTATTACCTACGAATAGAAATTGTAACAATAAATAGAATTAAGAAATTGTAAATTGAAATAAAATAAATAAATAGACGCTATAGAGTACCGATCTGAAGAGACACGCGTCTCGTTCATTTTCGCCCGTCCCGCTCGCACAGATCGCTATCGCGAGTTGGAAACGTTATCGTGCGAGCGGGCGGGTATAAAGATCGGCCGCCTCCCGTCGAGCGGCATTCGCTTCCGGGCAGCGACGCACTACACTCGAGAAGAAATAGGACAAGAAGAAAAAATACTCTCTTCAGACGGTACCGGAGGCTTCAGAATAGTAATCGCTGTGTTTCACTCCAGCCTGAACCAACGCCCCTACAGTCCACGCTCACCGTACGGCAGTCCACACCGCACAAAATATATTTCTTCGACCCCAGAAATGTGAAATTGTAGAAAATTTAAAAATTACACAATTTTCAATGTGTGAAAAGAACTTGAAATGAAATATAAAATAACAATATTAAAAAAAAAAAAACTGCTAGTAGTTATAAGAAGGTATTAGTAATCGCAGTAATATCAAAATTCCACATAAGTACATTTCTCCTTAAGTTTTCACTAGCAATGTGAATAAAAGATACGAGTTACTTAGGTCAATCAAAATGCTTTTATATGAGAAATACAAATGTTGAAAAACATTAATGGATACCTGATTACTATATTTAGTAATGGCATATTTTTATTATCTTTTTTCTTGTTAAATACCTACATATATAAAATTGAAAAATATCACTGGACGTTCTCACCACCATTCAGTCCATTCACTATGTGAGTCTTGTACTACGATTAATAGACAATAGACCACATAATCAAGGTTTCCACATGACTGTACAGCATGAGGTTCTTCAAAATGAGGTAAAAAAGATTTCTTCAGAGTCGGCAACGCGCACGTTATGGCTCTGGTATTGCAGATGCTATAGCTATTACGTGGCTATGGTAACCACTTACCATCAGGTTGACTGTATGTTTGTTTACCACTTTATGGTTTAAAAAAAAACACCAATAGAAACGATTAATGGAAAGTGGCAATGTGTTAACCTACTACACCGCTAGACGTGAAAATGTGACGTAATTCGTCAAGTTTTTGTACTATATCGAAAATTTATTTTTTTCAGTTATTTCTAATTGTACTCATTACTCTTTGAATAATAATATGATAAATATATTTTAATAAATATATTAACATCAAAACAGTGCACCTAGACTTGTTATCTGTAAAGCAAAAAGCATCCAGAAATAGTGAATTATAATATTAATAGGTGTGGGTGATGTTGTATTATGATATTATACATGTTCAAAACATTTATTTTTTTTATAAATATAGAAATAGGAAAATTATTTTGATGCTTCGTATATTTATGAAACATCTTATACGAATAATTTAAATTAATTGGTTGGTATCAAACACGTTGAGGGATTGTGTTCAGGTTTTGGGCCGTATAATATTTATTTACAAGTCTTAGTTTAGAGTTCGTTATGAGTCCAATATCTTTAATAATGTTCTAATATATTTTAAAAGCGATTACATGTTTATAATAATTTATAATTTGTGCTACTATCGTCCTTACCTGATCATACAATGGCTTATGTAAGAGACATTCAATTATGTAAAATAAAAAAAAAATTGCTACATATTTAAATAAAACATTAATGACGTATTTTGATTTATAATATGCTAAACAAATCTAACTTATTGGTGAGTCAACATCATCTACACCCGTGATCCAGTCAGTCACCGATGTAACATAGTTATATATACATAGTATGTCGTGTATTGTTGACATATAAAGATATAGCTTGTAAGTTAACGTGTAAACCGTTGTAAATATTCTGACACATAAATTATTGTATTTCATAATAAAATAATCAATCAGTTATCGTAGTTTTAATTCATCAACTCATATTTCTTATGCAATAATTATCATTAGGCCACAAAGTTAATAAGTGAATAACACATATCGTTATCCACTTATTTAATTTGTAACTTCTAAAAAGATAAAAAAATAGTTTTCTTTTGGGCTAACTAGTATACATAACTTGTAAAAAGAGATCTTTAATCTATCAAATATAAAGTAAATCGTCTTACTATTATATAATTCCAAATTGGTAACTTAATTAACCATAATTAGAAAGCTTTTAAAGGACTAAAACTAAGACTTTTCTAGGCCTTTAAGTTTTTGGACGTGTAGTCAAAGCTCTAGAAAACACTGATATACATACTCTATACTTAATTTTTTGTAAATACTAAATAAACAATGCTCAAAATAATACTAATACTAAAGTACACTCATGAATAACAACTTTGATCGGGATCGAAGCCACGACTATCAACCGTCGTCATTAAATTAGTAGGTACAAAAACAAAAATATACAAAATATATACTAAAGTACTTTTGATTGTGACAGGACGTATACAAAGGAGCATCTTACCATTTTGGCGATAAATTTTGTGAGCATAATTTTTTTAGACTATGATTTTATATTGTGTAAATAATATTTAATTGAATAAACAAAAAATAGACTTTAGTGAATGCTACAATCTAGTTTTTGTATTCTTCTTTTAAGATGTCAGTCTCTTTCAAAATGTCACCGTCATGCTTAACTTTGCCTAACATGCCTAACTCGTAAGCATTTTTTATATGGAATTTTTATTATATATTAATGATTCTTTTCTTTTATTTACTTGTTATATTTCAAAAATATTATACATATAAATGGTAAGTAGAGTCTATCACAATATATTCATAATTACGCATTATATGTATGATGATGTGGTATATATTATCTTAGCTATATTCTGAGGCGTTATGTCTTGCTGTTTCTTGTATTTGAGTTTTCCCACGAAAATGTGATAACCGAGGTTTGTTTGTTTGTAACATTTTACTATATAGTAAAATTTTAAATTATAGGATACAGAGTTCTTAAGAATGAGTACAATGGCGCACTTTTTTTACCCAACTTAGAATGGCAAACTGACGGCCCACCTGATGGAAAGTGGTAACTGTCGCCTATAGTCATGAGCAGTACCATGGACATAGTAGAGTATACTGTTTCACCTATTATACCTCCCATGTGTTGCTATTCCTGAGAAGTCGGATGTTATTCCTGTGTACTCTGTAATTTAAATAAAAAAAATAAAAAAAAACCCTATCCCATAAAAGGGGTTTCTTCTAGTCAACCTTTCAGTGCCTGATAGAAATTGTAAATTGGTAGAGACAAAAAATAATAATAGCTAATAAAAAAATATATAGAAATATGTATACTGAACAACATATTTAAATGATACCTGATATATCTCAAAGGATTATATCTTTATGCATAACAATTTATATTTTATCTCTATGTAATGGAATCATATTAATCAAATTATTTACTTGTATCAATTCATAGGTGCAATAATGTAATTCAGGTACATATACAGAAATGTTAGCTAATTCACGTATTACACTGTACCTGGTATTCATGCCGATGATGATGGCCTTAACAGATGATCAACCATATTGCGCCGTTCGATATCAGAGACTGTGCCAAGGTAAAGGCCCTCATGTCGCGTGCCAATTCCCTGAGGTAAGTCTACATTGGAGTGTTCGAGATTTGCAGAGTAAGTAGATACATAACTTCAGGTAACATTTTGTTAGAAAATTACATACGACTAGGATAGTAGTTGATGATGTCCTTAGATAGTCTGCTGATGTCCAAATAATAATGAATGTTTCAATTTATTAGTAATTTCATATATAATGTTTCTGTGATAATTTAAAAAAAAAAAACCTTTTCAATAAGTTCTATTGGCACAGACTAGTAACGGGAATTAGCGAGGACTAGTGCAAATAAGTGAAAAGCTTCATTAATAATGACTGCGGTAGGTCGAAAAGCTTGATTATTAATGACTACGACAATAAATAATTCATGAAAATTAAATGAAAATATGACTAATGAAAAGAAATATAATATAGAATATATATAAATTTCTCATATTGTTCATTTGCACGCCGACATAGAGGCAAAATGTATACGGGAAATGTAAACCTTTTTCATCTAAAACTACCTACATTCAAGCAAAATCATTTCATTTCAAAATATAGTGTATACAAACACAAAATACTGTTAAATTTAGAAACCTTTTCCTTTTCGATATGACATTAATATTTTGAAAATAATAGAAGTTACACCTTTATACATTATTTTCATGTTTTACAGGTTGGTCCCGGGGAATTATGTCAAAATTACACTGAAATAAAATTTACTAAGGAATTGAAGAATTTTATAATACACTATATAAATAGGTAAGATAAAAAGAGAACATAAATGTTTACATCTTTATTAAACATAAAGGACTAAAGTTTTGATCTTTATTCGTATTTTGAATATTATTCTTCGGTAGTGAAGTGAGTGGGTTTATCCAGGGTGAAATTGTACTAGGTACACTTACTTATACGGGTAATAATTTGCTTTGCATGAAGACGGCGTCAGCGCATTGCAGCCGGCAATGAGAGAGTCCGCGGAGGCATACAACTACCCCAGCCTGAAGTCATGATGTACGTTGTAAGTAAGAAAAATAAAGGAGTCCCAAAATGCCCAATATTTACCTATAATGCACATTTTAAAATTTATCGTCATGAATATTTGTTGTCATTTTTTACCGCTATTTTATAGTGTTACTGTGTTCCTAGTATAGAATGCACATTTATGATGTAGCAAACGAAACCTATTTTTTTTTATATTAAAATTTATGAACCGTATTGCATCAAAGATCCGCTCTTGTGTAGGTACGAGTATCTGTCTAATTAATAAGTATAATAAATTTATAATTAGACAATGACTACGTTTTTTTATGCAACTTAGAATGGCAAACAAGCTGTACATGAGAGATATTTAAGAAAAATTTATATCGGGGGTCATAATAAAAGCAATAGAAGCCAAATCAATACTTTTTAAATTTTGGTCTGTTTATTTATCTATCTATGTGTTTGTTCCGGTATTACTCAAAAACTCTCCACTAAAATAAATGCGGTTTTTATAGCTGTGTTTTTTAAGGTATATCTTAAAATATGATGTATGTTTTATCTTGATACGATAATAATGTGGAATTGGTTATCTACTTCTAAAATTCACGCGTACAAAGTTGCGGGCAGAACTTAGTATAATATAATAATAACATACTTAGATATACTTGAAAAACATTACGATCCTATGCCTATCTGAACTAACCAACACATAAGCCGCACAAGTTTTATTCATTTCATTCAAATCTCATACAATTATTTTCTGACAGGTATATGAAATAGCTTCCTGAATCAAAACACCCAGGGTAGGTTTCTCTAAAAAAATTAGACACGAATTCAATTATTCTATCATTATGTTATTATAAAATTTTTATGTTATGTGTATTTAGTATACATATATATATATATATATATATATATATATATATATATATATATATATATATATATATATATATATTTAGTATACATATATATATCATTACTTATTCACTATTCATCCTAAAGGTTGACTGGTAGAAAATGTTACTAACATTAAATCTAACTTTTGTACCATAATTTGACAATAAAAAAACATGACCAAAGTCAAAAAAGTTATTTAAATAAATTTAGAACTTCTACTTTTGATATTTTCTTTCCAGGAATGGGATCGTGAGTTAGCTCTATTAGCGCAAAGATTAGCTGACCAGTGTGTCTTTGTGCACGATAAATGTAGAGCCACAGGTTATAATTCTATCTATACTACTATCCTATATCTTAGTCTTCAGAAATAGCAACGCATGAAGGGTATCGTGGGCGACACAGTATACTCTGTTATGTCCACGATACAGTTAACGTCTATAGACGCCAGGTATCACTTTCCTATTAAAATATTATCAGTTTGTTTGTCATTCTAAATTTTATAAAAAAATCTACAAAACAAAATTCCTTATATTATAGTTTACTATATCAGCTGTTAAATGGCCACTGCTGAACATAGGCTTCTCTCTATTGAGGGGTTTTGACAGTAGTTGCCACGCTTGGCAGGCAGGTTGACAACTAGAGTTAGACCTTGGAGATGTTTTAAGAGAAACACTGCTGTCCATACTTCGACAATTAAGTTCCTTTAGTTGCTTCTTACGACACCCACGGGAAAGGTAGGGGTAGCCTTTACTATGCCGGGACAACATGGCAAAGTTCATGGTCCTATTTATGTCTATAGGCGACAGCTACCACTTACCATCAGGTAGGCCATCAGTCTGTATGCCATTCTAAGTTGCACAAAAAATACAAAACCAAACCCTTAAATTTTAAAGATTACTAAGAGCACAGATAATATAATACTACCTATACTAGCTAAAAGTAAAAAAAAAATAAAAGGTTTTTAACTGAAAAAACTGACGATACATATGGTTCAATGATGCAAAACGGAGCCCATACACTCAACTAATTTAGAATTCTTAAGTTTTTTTTATACAACTTAGAATGGTAAACAAGCTGACGGCCTACCTGATGGGAAGTGCTAACCGTCGCCTAAAGACATGAGCAGTACCATGGACATAACAGAGTATACTGTTTCGCCCATGATACCCCCATGCGTTGCCATTCCTGAGGACTCAGGTGTTATTCCTCTGTACCCTGTAAATTCACGCCATATCCCACCTTTCAAACCGAAACACATCCATGCAAACACAACTGCTTCACGGTAAAACACGAATGGGACAGAGATACCCAAGCAATCGACTTTTGTACAAAGTTAAGTATTAAAATAATAAAAGATCTCTCTACATAAACTGTGAATTTAAAGATATTTAGATAATAAAAAATTTATTTACGAAAAATGACGCACTTTACGCACAATGAAAATGATTAATCTAACATTACAAATTCAGCAAGAGATAAAAGTAATTAATAAAAACCAGAAATACAACCAGTATGATTATATTATATTATTATATATATACCATATGCAAGTAACCAGTTGAATATGTCTTATATCGGATAAGCGATCATGTATTGATATATAAATACTATCTTTTGCCCTTGACTTTATAAGCGTGAATTTTGAAAGTAACGTAATTATATTTTTTGGCGTCCCAAGATATTTTATAAATCTGATTTTAAGTTTGACCTTCAGGAATACAATTGTAAAAATCGCATAAAATTTCATTCATTATGTGTTGCTGGAACAAAAATACAGATTAACAGACAAAAATTCTCAATAATATTATTTGGCTTGTATTGCTTTCTTAAATAATATACAAACATCTAGTAATATTTTTTTTTATTTGTATAATAATAATAATATCTTTAATCCATGATTGTAACAAACTCAGCACTGGAAATTACAGTAAAAGTAGATACGAATTCATTTGTACATTTGGATCAGTTTAAACATCTGTGTCTGAACTAGGTTATAAAACCTGTATCTCAGACAACAGCGCTCAACCCTCATTACATAGTATAATATTAGTTCAGCAAAATTTTTATTGGTACATATAGAATGTTGATTTTATATAAAGTTAATTTATCTAATTATAACAATTGGCAATAATGAAAATTGTGAAATAATGTATACTCATATAGACGACACTATCTAAAGTGCACTTACATTTTATTTAAGTCCGGTATCCCTACGCTGGACAGACAGTGGGAGAGGTCCGCTGGCGACGCTCCAGTGAATCGGATGAACTAACAGCTCAGAGGGCCATTCACAGGGTATTCGATGCGTGGTGGGGCGAACGGCGACGTGTCCAGCCGAAACAGCTTATTGCGCCATTTAGACTCACTGCCAAGTATCTAATAATTTATGTATCTATCTATAAGTCAATTTCCCTAGACAACCCTAAATAGTCGGGAGGAAGGAGGGGTGGGAGGAAGGACTACATGAAGTCGACCTTCACATAGTGTCTCCTGGAAAACAGTGGTTAATTGCCAGCGAATTCATCAGAATGGACATCATCAGTCACTAGTCGGTACATCGTTAGCGTATACTGATAATGCAGATGGGTTTACCATTCAATTTTCATTTCTAGAAAAACACTATTTAGTCAATAAGAGAGACTTTATCGACTTTATTTATTTATGAAATTACATGTCTTGTTCTTTCTTATATATGCAATAACGAGAACGTCTCTAACAATCTCTAACAATTCATTAATTTGTTATATGTCTACGGAAATAAGTCTTTAAGTTATATATTAGCCAGAGAGAATCGCCAGTTAAGTTTTTTATCTAACATAAGTCTCTAGTTATTACTCATTCATCCTCATGAACATACGGAGGTTCCGAAAGGTTTAAGACTACTTCAGTGAATAAGTATACTTACGATATATCTTATTATAGTGAGCCAGTATCTCATTCCTCAGTATTGCATCCTTCTAGTATAAACATGTCACGTTTCTGTATTTTTTTTTCTCCTAATACATGGAACTATTGGAAGCCTGGAATTGGACAATTTGCAGAGGTGCCGTGTGGGGCCATTTTAGCCAACTAGCAGTATGGACGCTTTGTGCCGTCGGCTGCGGGGCTGTACGGCATGGCGCAAACTATCCTCGTCTTCTTCTCGTTTGCGATTTCTCACACACTAACATGCTCGGGCAGAGGACTATATCGCCTGGTCCGTTGGCTTCCTGCCCAGTTCACACCGCTAGAAAATCTAAAGCCTATCCCTTGTTGTGTATAACGGTGAGTATTAATTACAAGAAAAAAACAAGATTTTTAGTAATTAAATTTCAAAAATATTATCACAATAATTAAGCCTCTGAGCATTCTATTTGAAAATAATTTATATATCTACGCATACTATCCCTGTGTGGTGATAGAGTAATAATTTTTTTTTTTTTCTAACAATGTCATAATCAAATGATGATGATGTTAAGGTAAATAGGAACTATAATACAATAATAATATGATGACATTATACCTGTAAAGTATTGCCATGTGGTCTAAGACTAAGTGAACTTAATTATCAAGGGATGGGCAGCAGTGTCTCTCTTTAAATATCACCAAAATCTAACTACGGTTGCCATCCCTTCTGACAAGCGTGGCAACTACTGGCAAAACCCCACTTATTGTACAAGGCCTATGTTCAGCAATGGACAGTTAACGGCTGATATAATAATAATAAATCATTCCAATCGTTTTATCGGAGAACGGTCTTATCTCAACTAGTCTGGAACAACATCTCAGACGGTTGGGATTCCGAGGCAGCTCACTTCCGGGAAAGATGCAAAAAGCTCTTAGACTCTGCCCGCATTGTACGCCGGTTTCTCTCCCTGGGACCCTGAACCCCGGCCGACTGTGCTTCTACCGGGGATTAGTTTGCCATCTCCTCTCCTTAAGAGGGGAGATGTGATCTTTTGGAAATAATAATAATATAAATAAAAACGTATAAATTAATAAATATACAGCGCCATTTGACAGGTCAGAAAGAAAACTCTTCAAGAATTAGAATCTATCGAAGACTCTGAATCTGATGAAGAGGTCGAGGATATAGATGAAGAAGACGATGATGATATTTCTAACGATAATATGACAAAATATTATGGAGTATTTTTGAGAAAATTTACTAGGAAACGACTAACAAATAAATATGTAAAGCCAAAGGAAATACAGTCTACAAGGGCTGTACAAACACGTACAACTAGAATTGAAGATGATCCGATGTCGGAAGGAGGTATGACAAAATCATAAAATACCCCTAAAGTCACTATTGAGTACAGTAGAAGTATTTGGAGCAGTTAGATGTAGACACTGTTGATTCTTTTATTATGAATTTAAATTTCGTTTGCGGAATATAAGTACATATTTATACTGATTCATGCACTCAAGAGGTTACCTATTCTAAGTGAGTAAATGTACTTTATGACTAAAATGTGGTACAATAAGATAAAGGAATTGTCTATGAAAATAATAAGAAATGGTAAAAAAACAAATACAGAATTATTACACTCTCGACTAAAATACCAGAGGGGATTATCAGTGGTTACTGTCGACTGTTGCATACACATACCCACATTTGTAATAGGCGGTAAAACTATCACTATCTTTCAAATTAACTTAGTTTATTAACAATGTTTCTCATCTCAATAAGTGTAACGAATTTTTAATTAGAAGTGAAATAAAAAGTATTTCAGGTATAGAAAAGGAAATGCCAACTGAAAGACGTTTAATAAACAAACTGGATAGGGTGTTGGAAATGCGAAAGAAAGCCGACACGAAGAGTCGTGTGAATGGAAAATATAATGATTGGTATACAAGACGATCCAATATTGGAAAATGGCGGTATTTTTATCCTTATTAATAATAACTATATTAAAGTATATTTAGGTAAATAGATATATCTGTGGATACAATAAACTACTATTTATTGTTTACATACATATCTGTCACGCCTGTCTCCCATTAGGGTAGGCAGAAACAATGGAACGCCAAATGCTTCGATTCAAACAAACCTCTTTCGCTTCTTCCACATTCATCAATCTTGTCATACACGCTCGTCGGTTACGGGTACTTTTAATTTGGCCCTTCTTCAGCACGTCGCCTATTTGGTCGACATACGTCCGTCTAGGGCGGCCCCTACCGACATCTCCATTCATTCTTGCTCGATAAATCTCTTTCGTAATTCTTCTTTCATCCATCCTCTCCAAATGACCAAACCAACGCAACATTCCTTTTTCGATTTTGGTCACTACATCGACTTTCAGTCCACACTTCTCTCTAATCACACTGTTTCTTACTCTATCTTTTAAAGTAATACCACACATACTTCTCAAAGCTCTCATCTGTACAGCATTTATCTTACTTTCATGCTTCTTCTGCCATACCCACGATTCGCTTCCATACATGAGTGTTGGTGTCAGTACTCCTTGAATTATAGCAAGGCGAGCTTTGCTCGATACATTTTTACTTGACATAATCGAGAGCAATGCACCGTTAACACTGTTTCCCGCTTTTACTCTCCTCTCAATATCTCTTTCACACTTCCCATCCCTCGTAAACAAAGAACCTAAATATAGAAACTCACTCACTTGCTCCACTTTTTCATCTCCTATCATAATCTGGCATGCCGTTAAACTTTCATTCCTCTCAAAAACCATTACCTTCGTCTTCTTCGCATTTATTTTCATACCTTTTCTTGCATACGCTTCATTCATTATAGTCACCATTTGTTGTAATTCATACTCCGACGATGCAAAAAGTACTTGGTCGTCGGCGTATAAAAGAGTCTTAAACAGAGACTCATTCATCCTGAATCCACAATTAGATCCTTTCAAATCGGTCAAGCAACTGTCCATAAATAGGTTGAACAGCCAAGGAGACGCTACACAGCCCTGTCTAACACCGCGTTCAATGCCAAACCAGTCTGTATAGACTCCATTTATTCTGACACAGGCATTTGAATCCTTATATAAAGATTTGAATGCCCGTATCAAATGGCTGCTCACCCCATACATTGCCAGTGTTGACCACAGTTCATTCCTCTCCACTCTATCATAAGCCTTTTCAAGGTCAATGAAGGCGCAGAAAACCTTCTGATGTTGAGCTAAGGTTTTCTCTGTTATGCACCTTAAGGAAAAGACTTGATCCGTACATCCCATACCCTTTCGAAACCCTGCTTGCACATCCCAAATTTTACTTTCCGTCTCATTCATCACTCTTTTAATCAAAATCCTAGCATACAATTTGCCTACAACACTAAGAAGGCTTATTCCGCGGAAATTTTTGCACTCCTGCTGTGACCCGCTGCCTTTATATAGTGGCACAATAACAGCTTTGCTCCAGTCACCTGGAACACAACCGGACCGCCAACATTTATTGAACAGCAGACACAGCAGGTTTACAATGATTTCTCCACCTTCTTTAAGCATTTCGGCAGATATTCTATCAAATCCCGCTGCTTTACCAAATTTCATAATCTTCATTGCATTCATTACTTCATCCATACTTATATCACTTTCACTGTCAACTTCTTCGTCCATTATTTCATTTTCAACATTCTTTCTTTCACATTATTTATTGTTTGATATTGCTAAATTGTTAAAAGATGCAAATTTAATATCAATAATTTTGTAAGCGGCACAAAATACAATATAAAAAAAATTAAAAATGCAGAAATACGTATTTTAGCCATGGTGTATTTCTGCTAATGTTTTGCTGTCAAACTGTCTAACTTTTAAAATTTCTAAGTCTTAATTCTCTTTCTGTTTTACAAAAATATATCTGTTACTATATGAGATTCTGTTTATATTTCCTTTATATAAATATTTGACTATATAGTTATATTTTTCCAGCGAAAATATCAAGATCTTTTCACAAATGGAAATAACGACACCATCAATTAATCCTAAATTACATCTACCTGATATTAATGATTCTGATATAGCGCAGTTTAAAGGAATGTTCGAGACTACGACAGTAAGTCAAAATAAAAACATATTAACCTAAGCAGAGGAAAACTTTGTATGTACAAAAGTTTTTTACATGAGTAATTGGTTCCATTTATTATATATATATTCATGCCGGTAAACAGCTATGCTTGTATGCTCCGGTTTCAGTTTTAAAGGTAAGATATGACATTGATATTACAATGTACAAAGCATAGAGGCTTAAAATCTTGGACTTCTGGGAATGAGCCAAATAGATGCAGCCGGTTTGAAATGCGGCGACGAAGCATAATATATTTTGTAATCTCCGTGGTGTAGTCTATAGGTGCCATCACCAGTTCAGGGTCATCAGGTCAGCTGTTTGTATTTTTGTATCCTCTAGGTATTGGTGAGTACCTAAGCATAGTGACTACAAAAATATTTGTAGGTCGTTAGGGGAGAAGACTGGCTTACTAGATGGACTTGTCTCCCGAACTTAGAGTAACCGAAATATAAAGTTAGTAATAATATTTTAACTGATGTTATAATAATGAATTCAGATAATACAAAGAAAAGAAACTTTAGACTGGGGTTTGATCTTAAAGCACCGATTTCAGTCAAGCGTTCGACCGACATATCTGTAACCAAGAATGCACAGCTAGTGAGTAAATTTATTAGGCGTTTGTTTGGGTATACTTCATCTAAATATGTAAACATCTTGCCAATTTTTTTCCTAGAAGCAACAATTCATGCGTTCAAGAAAGACTACTATATCAGATTTTATGACAGTATATCTATTATTACTGTATCTTTCGGTTATACTGTAAGCTTCTGTTGTCACTTTCCATTAAGAATACTTTTTTTGTTACTTATCAGCTTGTTTCCTATTTTATGTAAAGTGAGCTAGAGGGCATCACCATAACATGATTAGTACTGATAGATTTTAATTTAAACAATCCAGATACTTTAGGGTAAATTGTAATAATAAGTAAACCTGTTCTTTCTATATAGGGTCCTACAGAGTCACTTGTAATAAGACATCGATGGAAGCAGACCAGAGATCGACCACGTAGGTAAGTTTTTGAAATTATATTTTATTTAAGAGCCCACTAAATCTGATATTGAAGATAACATCGGAATCCAAAACGATAAAAGGGACTAGTTTACTAAGATTATACGAATAGATAGATAAGAAGTAGAGTATCTAATTACTTTGTGTATTTTACACAAAGTACCTATCTATTTTATATTTACAATTTTAATGCCTGCTTTTTTACAGGCCTGGAGCTAATGCCCTTTTGAATGTGCCAACTGTAATACAGTCTCGGCGACCTCCAATTGTAAGTTAGAAAGTTAATCATGTGTAGATAAAACAAATTCTATTCTCTATATAATATCCTGCGAAAAAGTGTTGAGGTAACATGAAAAAGTGTAGGTAGAATAATCTCAAATTAAAATTTTAATTAATAAAGCATAGTATAAGTTCATATTAACCCCAGGGGCGCAAGAGCTTTATAAAGTATTTTAGTTTGAATTCCTTCTCTTACTCTGATGTAGGTAATATGCTTCAATAGTCGCGATATAGAGGCCCTTTATAGTCGATAGAATATTTAATTTCCAAAGATTAATAGATACCAGCAATTACCAGATGTAATTACTAAATGTAATCTCTTATTCCTTTCCCATGCTTACTAATATTTATTCGTATTTGATTCTTTGTTTGTTACTTCTTGGTGCTCCACCAATTGTCATGAAATTTGTTATACACGTGCTTTGTGGGATGGAGAAGGGCATAAACTTCCTATTTATTTCGATCAATCACTATATTCTAGTCACACGAACAAAGTTGCGGATAAAAGCTAGTTACAAAAACATCTAGATTGAGTTAATTTTTATTTTGTAGGCACCTCTGACTCTGGATAAAGACGATATAGAACAATTATTTCGGGACACCGGATTCAATCTTAACTGGAGAAGGAAAGATGTAGAAGTCCCAAAATCTAATATGAATTAAAAAGATTTTAACAACAGTATCACAAACTGAAATGAATATTTAAAAAAATAGATACATAATCATCTTTTTTTCAAATGGTTACGTAAACTTGTTTCATGGTTTGTGGAACTGGTACCTATATTTATTAACTAATTTCATTATATCTACAAGGAATTATACAACAGGGTAAATACAATGTACTACATGAAGACCAAAGACAAAAAGAGTTACAGAAGAATACTATTTAATATCAACTCGCCTCTTTGCGTAATTTCCAATAAAAAGTTGACATTCATTTGACTTGCTGTCAACATTATTCTACAAGCAATGAAATTAATCGTCGAAACAATTTGATTTTAATTTGAAATCTATTACATGTAAATGTCGATATGAAAAATAAAACTTTGAGTACAGGACATCTGACGTACAATACCTACAAAACTTGGTAATATCGTAATGTGCTGTTGCTGTCCATGTTGCCGCTGTGGGGAGTGTCTCAGATGCATTTGTTGTATATCATTATGTGCAATGTTATGCCATTTATGCGGCTGTGATGAAATTTGCGAGGATTGTGAAGCTGATTAAATAATAAATACCTTTATAAAATGCATCATTTGTTGTTTTTTTTACTAGGAGGCAGGTGATACCTAAACATCATTCGCAGACTCATTGTACCTATCTAGTAAATTAGTAAAAAATATAGTAATATAGGCAACACTCGTACGAGACCATGGAAGTCAGAATGTATTCTTGTAATGTCCATGTTCATATCTTCAGTGTACAGTCAATTTGTTTGTCATTTTTAGTTGCTCGAGACCTGATCACAAAATCTCACTACTAGTTGACCCACGCGCGAATCTATAGAATGGTTTTTGATTCGCAAGGATACCTAGATAGCGAGAAGCTCTTTAATTACCGATTACTGGTTATCTTTTTGCTCTCAATTTTTTTTTAACAAAATTTGCATAAAAATTTATAACAAGTAGGTATATTTACTTAACACCTTTTTTAATTTCTTATATACCTCTATTAGTAGAACAAGACACAAGCTAATAATAGTTGAGACCAGGACTCCGATTCGTAAATAATTTATACCTATACTTATAACAAAATGAGGGTCTCATTTTTAAAGTTGTTTAAAAAAGTTTTTTATTCAACTAAAAAGGTAAAAATGCTAACGGCCCACCTAATGGAAAGTGCGTCAATGTAAGTGCGAAATAAGCGTCGTCTATAGACAAAAATGGAAAAAGCTGTACTCAGAAACAGCTGACGATTTGTAAAGTAGACATAATTTCAAGAATATATATCTATCCGAGTATCTCTGCACATCCTTAAGATTGACTGATAGAGAATGCCCATAGCATTAAGTCCGTCTTTTGTACCACATTTTATTCGTCAATAAAGATGAAATTAATAAGTCAGGCTTAAATAATTACGAACTTAATGGTAGTGTAATTAGCATTAACTACAGAATGGTTATTGATCCTCGCTTGACAAACTGCTTGTCAAGTTTGGACGTAACGGTGAAATTTTTATGGGATATATTAATTAGCCATGTAATTAAATTTAAAAGTAAAAATAATGAAATTGTTCCAATACGCGGCGAAATTTTCGCCATTAATTGTGAATATTAAACAATACAGTCAACAATGTCACAAGTTTGTATTAAATTTTATTTCAGTTTGCAGGGTTGGATATGCCTAATAGTGAAATTATAAAAATAACATTTTAATAGATACTTTGAATGTGTAACAAATAATGTGTACAATTCTTTAATGGATCAAGAAAATGGAATGGTAATACCGCCCGCGCTAATGGTATACGCCAGCGGAGCACCAGTGAGTGATAATAGATGATGATAGGTCATGAAAAGACAGGTCAGTTAGCCCATCGTGATGAACAGGCCTGAAATTCAGTACGATGGTTTCCACATGACATGAACCTGGTTGTGTATTTGCTAGCAATTGGACCTATAGTTTCCATGATTAACAATTTCTTCCCCCTATTAGATACAGCATTCATTAGGTGTCAAAGCGTATTCTCTGAATAATATTCATGATATTTGTTATATTTGAAAATGATGATTACCACTTTATTACATGGACCGTCAAATTGTTTGTCATTCTAAGAGAAATATCTAATTGAGAAATTTCATATCAGAATCTGATCCTCATTGTTGTATTATATTTATTATAGGCAGATGTTTATTCAAAAATTTTTCATTTTAAAGTTATAGTACTCCTTACAGCATCAGAAAACCCCGGCATTTGATCTGCTTCAAACAATGGACAGAGGAAATGGTGATGGGCATCATAAACAGTGCGATAAACCTTAAATGCTGCTTCCGAGACACGCATAATCAAAGACTGGTATAGTTTTACTTTTTTAACAAACTTTAGACAGAGGAAATACACAATTCGACCGTATTTTTGTGTATATACTTATTAAGTAATATCTTCATTAATCGTGGAATAATTTTAATGATTCCTTTTCATAGAGAGCTTTTACTTCGTTAAAAATGTAATATTTTATAACTATATACTTAATCATTATCTGACCCGGCACTTTATCATTATTTAGTATTGAGATTTTTTTTTAATTTTATTTTGGTACAGTTATTAAAAAATTATAATAAATTTTTTTATGTTAGATAAAAATAGACAACGAATGCTTAAATATATACAATAGCAGAAGTTTACTTATTTATTATACTTGCACACATTAAAATATGTCTACAGGGCGGACTTAATGCCTGATGGCATTTTCATGTTTATGTAGTTAATTGACAAAATTGTACCATACGCGTATAAACTATAAAAGTACAGGGATGAGACAAAAGAAGAAAATCTACAATAAAGTTTAATAGTTAAAACGGATACATAGAGAGATTATACTATAAAAATATAAATATTATTTCTAGAATGTGCTATCAGATTCAAAAGTGATGATATTACAAGAAATCAACGAGCCTGTACTAAATATGGCTGTGTCCAAGGCTGCCACGCTTTTGGGAGCTTACGATGTTCATATCATAGACAATTTGGTGTGGGACCAAGATTATCTTGGCAGGTGAGAATTTCTTAAAATATAAAAATGGAACTAATTCATATACTTACGTACGCACCTATTTGGTTTAGATTGTAATTTGATCGCCAAAATGTGGGCATATCAAATATCGCTGAGCCTCTAACTCTATTAGGACTTATGATGATATCAGCCGTTAACTGTCCACTGCTGAACATAGGCCTCCCCCTATTGGGGAGTTTTTCCAGTAGTTGCCATGCTTGGCAGGCGGGTTAACAACCGCAGCTAGACTTTAGTGATGTTTTAAGACAGACGCTGCTGCCCATCCCTCGACTATTAAATTCCCTTAGTCGCCTCTTACGACACATACAGAAAAGAAAGGGATGGCCTATTCTATGCCGGGCCACACGGCTTATTAAAACTTATGGTTTAGACTAAAGACAGACATTATCGATTATAAAAATAATTATTCGCGCATTATAAGCACACTCGAAAAAAATAAAGGCAAGCAAAACACTCGACGTCAGGTTTGAATGCGCAAACAATAATTTTTGAAACGCGCTGAGATAGAATTTTCCACATGCTCGCATTTAAGCAATTATATTAATTATCATTTATCTAATCTCTTGAATCTGGTAGTCACGTTTAGATCTTTATTATTATATAACTATCTGTTCTGGTAAACGTTGTATTGCTCCCTTCAGGTCTATTTTATTCCTATCAGGACAAAAACTGTCCTCATTCGATAAGTTGGAGCAAACTATATACATTTACAAAATTTCATTAAAATTTGAATAAAATTAATTAGTTTCGGAGATTAGTGTAAAAGAACATCAGGATGTTTTTTATTCAACTTGAATGGCAAATAAACAGACGGCATATCTGGTAGAAAGGGGTAACCGTCGCCTATAGACAGTATCATGGACATAATAGAGTACACTGTGTCGCCTATAATAACCCCCACGCGTTGCCATTCTAGAAGACTAAGGTGTTATACCTCTGTAGTCTGTACCCTGTAAATTCATTGCCATATCCCACCCTTCAAACCGAAACAGCCAGGATACGGGATTATTATATAATTGTAAACGTTTTCATCTACAGAGTGTTCTCGTTCATGTCAGACGCCATATTTGTAGCGACCTCTACGCACATGTGCGTCCAGCGGTTCGCCGACCAGTCATCGGTGCCTGTGACTTGTATGAAGTCAAGAACGCATGCCAGCATACAATCACTCTCCACTGTTATGTCTATTATAGTTAGTATTTCTATTATTTGGCACACTATGTACCTAGCGAAATAATAGTTCATCATTCCTCATCATATCTGTCCACTGCTGGTATATGAGGTCGCCATTCAAGACTCTTTCTTTCCCATCAGTTGTCGGTTTTTGATCTATGTGACCAGCCTATATATATATATATATATATATATATATATATATATATATATATATATATATATATATATATATATATAAATAAATAAATAAATATATACGAGGTTTGTCCGGAAAGTACGTATAAAAGTTTTTTAAAAATTTTATTTTACAATTATTCAGGTAAATCAATTTTATCCCCTTCAAAGTACTCCCCCTGTGACATAATGCACTTGTGCCAACGCCGTTTCCACTGTGAGAAGGCTCCTTGAAAGTCCTCTGGTTGTAGGTTTCTCAGCTGCCCCGTCGTAGCTTTTTTTATCTCATTTATGTCCCCCAAATGCCGCCCCCGAAGTACCAATTTGGTTTTTGGGAACAAGAAGAAGTCACACGGGGCCAAATCCGGCGAATAGGGGGGGTGTTCGGTCACCGTAATGGAATTTTTACTCAAAAACTCACGGACAACAAGAGAGGTGTGGGCAGGGGCATTGTCGTGGTGAAGAATCCAACGCCCCTCTCGCGCCAATTCTGGACGAACTCGTGCCACACGAGCTTTGAGGCGTCTGAGCACATCGACGTAGAATTTTCCATCAACTGTCTGGCCTGGAGGGACGAATTCTTGATGGACAATCCCCCGAACATCGAAAAAAACAATCAACATTGTCTTGACATTTGAGCGGGATTTTCTTGATTTTTTTGTTCGTGGTTCCCCGGATGTCTTCCACTCTTTGCTTTCACGGCCATTCTTGCCGAGTTTCGAGAGAAACTTGATTACGACGCGCTGCTCTTCAACGGAAGCGGGCTCCATGCCGACGGGGTTTCGTTAAGAGGTAACTTCACAGATGGCGTGACAAGCCAGTTCGCACCGCACGGCGGTCAGACCAGAACTGAAGCATTGTTAGGGACATAAGGAAGGGGTCCTGCGCTTACCTGGCCTCCCCACTCCTCTTTCTCGCATTCCAGAACACTTTTATACGAACTTTCCGGACAGACCTCGTATATATAATAAATTATTATTAATAATAATACGCGCGCATAATATAATATATATATCACGCAAAGGAATCCCGAGCATAGCCCTCTCTATAGCTCGCTGAGTAACTTGAAACTTTGGCGAAAGAGCAACCAGGTAGAACCAAAGAAATTGTAATAAGAAAGTAATAAAGGAGATAGTAATAAGATTAATAAGTAAATACTCTGTGACACCCATTACTCAGGCATTGTCATTTATGAAGACTATACTTTTATGCTCTTATACCCTATAATATCCTTACCATGTCCTACCCTATAAACAAATGCACTACTTCTTCACAATAGAAATACGACTAGGACAGGGATACCCAAACAGGCAGTGTCAGCACCTGCATCTGATTTGAAAATACCTACTCTTCAGATGGACGATGAAATTGCAATGGTAATTTTTAAGTAATAAATGTGGAATGTTGAATTGTTACAGGAAGAGTTTGGTACATTGAAAGGTGTAAATATAAGTTACTTGGGAGCTCCACATCCAGTACTGAATTCTTACTTACTTCTGTGCCCAATGTTGGGCGCTAACATTAGATTTAAATGTTGCTGCAAGGTTACCAGTGTTACTTACCTACTTAGTAATATTTAAAATAAGTTTGTTTGTTATTTATTGGTGCTTTAACCTGTTGAACAAAAATTTTGTATATCTAAATACGTATGAATGTATATCTACCTAGTATTTGGGATGGAGGACACGGTCTGTTTTTTATTCCGGTAAATAAACATATCGGTTACGCGGAAGAAGTCACGAATTAAAACTAGTATATTATGTGGATGTGAGTTTCCATGTCCAGCTGTCAATTTAGTATCATTATCATCAGCTGTTAATTGTTCACTGTTGAAGACAGGACTCCTCCTATTTAGGGTTATTGCCAGTAGTTGCCATGCATAGCAGGCAGTTTGACAACCGCAGTTACGCTTGGCGATATTTTAAGAGGGACGTTGCTACCTATCCCTCGGCCATTAAGCTCCTTTAATCACCTCTCACGGGAAAGGAAGGGGTGGCCCGTTCTAACTCGACACTACATGGTGAATTAAATTTAATATGAGAGTATAAAAGTTCAGTTTTATTAAAAGAAAACCTCCAAAGATATTTAATCTTGTATGGTAACAACCACCTTGTCTGCAGAAATGTCCTGTCAGTCCCCTTTTATTCAAAGCGAGTGAAGAAATATCAAGCAAGTCCTACACAGAAATGAAAGAGTGCTTGAACAAAGACGACGTGCTTAAAAATGCGTGTGTGGTTATAGCTGGGCCTACTACCAATAAACAAGACAAAATTGATGAATTTCGAATAGGCATAGAGGTTTGTTGTTAATTTTTTTTCTGGGATGATATTAAAACGGTAATTCTACATTGATGAGGTACCAGTAGCAGATGTTAGATGAGGATGAAATCAAGTCAGTCGAACCATCGTGAATCGTGATCAAGAATTAACGGAAATGGTTTTCAGGGGAAATTGCATAGAGTTCGCTACTTGCAATAAGGCCATTAATCCCCATTACTAGTAATCCTTCCTCTCTCTCTTCTTTATGTCATTATTAATGATGTTTATTGGTCTATGTAAGACATAAAAGTGACTTACAGCATAACAGACTCATATAAATTGGCTACAAGGGACTGAGTCTCTGGTGATAGGAAATACCAATAACAAACGAAATTGGCTATTCGTCAGGTAATCTATCAGCTGATTTGATTTCCTAAATGCTTGATGAACTGTGTTTTAGTATTATGTTCACCACAAAAACACAGTCGACAAATGTCTCTCTGTGCCCCATGAGGAATTATAGTTGTGAGCATGATTTTTATATTGCAACAATAATTTCCACTTGATATATTTTTATGATTCTACTGCTGGATTAGGAATATTGTAAACTGTTGAGAACTTATAAAATACTATATGTTTTTTACAACTGTAAATTTAAAATAATTTCACAGCTAGATCAGTAGCCTCTTAAAAACTTTTTATAATTAGATTTTATTTATTTATAAACAAGAAATTTTTAAGAGATTTCAAAAAGTAGTTTGCATATAAGCTTAACTACCTAGGAAATATTTAATTCCCACATTTTACCATATATACACAGTATAAATTTGTTTCTAGGATATAGAAAAACAGTCTTGTTGCCATTGGATTTTCTTCCACACATGTCCCCGTGGGAAAGAAGTAGATGATGTTCTTTTTAATCATTGGAATGCTCGGACCTTCAATGTATTTGAAAATATGCACTTCATTGCAGCAGCCCTGATGGCATATGGAATCAAGAATTACACATTTTGAATGAAAACCACTAAAAAACCATCCTTTTGTTAATAAATTCATATGTCAAACTTGTAAAACTATAAGCCAAATCTTTTAATAATATGAATAAAACTATATTACGCCGACCCCAAATAATAATTGGGATAAGGGTAGGATGATGATGATGATGTCATATGATTGTCTGTATATACACTAAATATAAATCTTCTAAATATATATATACTTTCAAATTACATAGCTTTATACCTGTTTATACTTATTATAGTTTTCTGGTATTATAATATATATAGGGTGAAATCAAAATGGTTAGCTACCTTAATTGAGAAAAGCATTTTCATAAAAAAAATTTAATTTATCATCTGTAAATAATTTTGAGCCTCTTATATTAACATGGCACATTCAGCCAAGTTAATATAGAAAAATCAAAATGTTCATACTTGGTTTTAAAGGCCATGTAAATCTTTGCCATAAATATATCTACTTTTAATATGTTTTTGGAACAGTATGTCTATCACTCATCATTAAGAATATTTTATATTACTAAGCCTGCTTTTAGAGTTGAGATTTTCAAAACATCATTATCATATCAACCTTTAACTGTCCACTGTTGAACATAAGCCTCCCCCTTGGTGGGTTTTGTCCATATTTGCCACGCTTGGCAGGCATATTGGCAACCGCAGTTAGGCTTCAGAGACGTTCTAAGAAGGGTGCTGCTGCCCACCCCTTGTACTTCCTTAATCAACTCTTATGATACTCACAGGAAAGGAAGGGGTGTTCTATGTCATGACCACACAGCAAAAACATAGTAAATTAAAATATTTTGCTTAACAGGAACACTTTGGTCCAGACAGCTAGGAAATGGGTATTTGACCTATTCCTGACCAATCATATTATTCTAAATTTTGTCAATCTATTATTATTATGTACTATATAATTTATAAATGATAATTTTTAGCTACTGCTTTAAATTGTTTCTTGGTTTGTTTAGACCATAACACTAGTAAAGATATTAAAGAAATAATAACTCTTAGATTTCAAGAAAATAAAACAAATTAGATTAACTATAAACAACAAACTTTACTATGTTAAACATATATATGACTAAATATACTAATTACGCATTTTGGTTTTTATATTTCCCTCTCATAAATTTGGGCAAAGGAACAACACCCGGGCAAGGTACTTGCCCATACACTTCACATATACAAGGTCTTTCACAACCAACACCAAAATTAGCAGGATTGTCCTTTTTCTCAGCAGCTACAGCTTCTGCTTTCAAAACGTCTCTAGATTTACCAACAGTATTTAATAAGTGTTGTAGAATTTCTTCTTTGGACTTATTGTCTATATCAATCAATATTTTTTTTCCGTCATCCAAATAACACTTTATAAATGGTGAAGGTGTAAGATTTTTTAAAGTAGCTACTTGAACATCAGGATTTTTATACTGGATTTGTGGAAGATACCAGAAGACGAAATCTTTTGCACCACTGTTGTTTTCTCCAAAAATATTGTAAGCTACCGAAAATATTTTAATTCTGTCTTTCAACACTAATTTACCGGCGTTTAAATAATTTAAAGTGCGACGAATGGGTGCTCTACCTTTCATAAAAGGCATCTTGAGATTCTTTTCTAAATTATCGTAATACAATTATAAAGTGTAAATTAGGATTTAACATAACCTAACAAAATTTATCGATGCGTGACAAAACAATGACGTTGACATACATGATCGGGGTTGCCAGAAATGGAGGCATATATAAATAGTGGTATAACACTATGGATAATCATTTCTTTAATTATTATAATTTTCATTTTGTTGTTACAATATTTTGAAATCTTAACATGTATTTCATTTTCCAGGTTTTGTGTATGCTGCTGCCAATTTTTATAACAAAGTGCTTACTTACTCTGTGGACATCGTATCTCAATCTGTACTAACGCTCCGATAGCTGGGAGGAAAGGGTAATGGAGATTAAGAATCCCATAGCTAGCAATATACCCAACCAGTTTGACCTCCTTGTGGTTCCCTCTGGAAACTATCATGATTAATTCTTAATGAATTTATCATGATGGGCTAACTGGCCTGTTTTCATCCTCATCGATCACCCTTCACTGGTGCCCCGCCAGCGTATCCCATCAGTGCGGACGGGCTTATCATTCCTTTTTCATCCAATGAAAAAAAACGGTCCGATAGTACATATTTTATAGGTTTCTTGTCGCATTGTGATTTAAAAGTACTAACTGTAGAAAAAGTTTATAGTTGCTTATTTTAGCTATTTATCTTGTCTAGAATAGAGGACTAATCTCCATATTCACAAAACTAAAATATATTACATACCTCTATTCACCCTCACATATTATCTGTTAGTGGTTCCCTGTCAACATATATGAATAGCGCAGACGGGGTTACCATTCCATTATAAAAAAAAAAAAAAGTTTATCATCCATTAAATAAAAAAAAACTTTAGGCTTTAATTTAGAAACAAGGAAATGATATATGACCGCATAACCCTACCAAATTCAGATACAAACTGCTTGCATACTTTCTACATACTGTGCCGACTATATAATCTAGTACTTAATGTAAAATTTGTCATTGACAAATAATTGACATACCAAACATTTTCTTTACACTAGCCTGCCATGAATTGACAAGAATAGCAAATGTTGGTATATGTTTCGTTGTTTGAGGCAATCATTTATAGAAATGATTTACAGTTTTTATTTTATCAATCCTTCTATCTAATTCCTTATTCTTAGGTTTTAACGCTACTGTGTTTTATCATAAAAAATATTATAATAAAAAATACAAATTATCTTAAAAGTAAAAATAGATTTATTAAAAGACTTTATATATAAAACTTACACTACCATTAATAAATGTTATTATATCTATGTATTTATAAATTTATTATTTTATTAAGATTTTTGTTTAGTAAAATTATTGTAAACATTGAGTTATTAAAAATTTTTTACATAATTATTGAATTATTATTAGTATTCAATTTTTGGTTTGCATATTCATTTATTTTAACTGCATAGTTTACAATTTTGTAACTATAATATAATAATATTTCGTTTTACATTAAAAGTCACAATGATTATAGTTCATGAAAAACAACGAACGTTCATACAAAAGCCACATATTATATATTACTTCAGATAATATAATACTATCGTGCTGTTGATTAAGAATGCAACTTGTCGAAGGTTGAGTCATTGTATTTGATTAAGTTCGATGTTTAATCGCTGTATGCACTTGGCGCGTTAGACGGTCGAAATTTTGTAAATATTTTTACTCACACATTTTTAATTCTTTGGATTATGAGGGCCGTGACAATCTATAGCTGCATTTTATTTACGTTATTTAAGACTGGAGCAACTTCATGTATATTTTTAAATAGAATGATTACCCTGTGCTGGGGGAGAAGGGATTATTAATGATGGGGATTCAACCTCCTTGCGATTCTTCTGAAAATTATTGTGCTCAGCTTCTAGCGAATTCATCATGATGAGTTTGACCTGCCTTTTCATCCTCACCTATCCTATCTCACTGGTGCCCCCCAGCCAGCAGATACCATTAGCGCAGGTGGGATGCACATTCTATTATCATCTTTTTTAAAAAGAAACCATATCTGCGTTATTGACCTTGAAGATTATATAGCTATAGATTATATTCCTCATTCCCATTATCTATCCCATTTCCAAGTAAAAGACCTATTTGCAACGACCAACTTTGAATCATTTGGAACCTTACCTTGGTGAATTCGTCTAATACCTACTCAATTATAAAATTTCATTGAAATCCATCCAGTTGTTTCTACGTTTCTAAAATAGGTATTGGGGGGGGGGGGGGATAGTAATAGGCAGTTATATAACTGGTCTTATTATTCCATCCTCTACTTATTGTTATACCGTTTGTATAGTCGGGTCCATCTATCTGTATTTAATAAAAAAAATATTCTTTACTAGCCTGGTTTTGGCAAATTTCCCTCTCCAATGACAAAAAAAGAAAGGGTTAAAATTTGAGCTGTTCAACTATAACAACGTTAAGTTTGGTGCGATCCTTTACTCCCTATCCTATGGTGCCTCTCTCAGTCCTCACCCTATCTACTTTATTTGAACCTCGGACTTTTTTTATTTTATTAAAAACCCATGATAAAGACTCGTTAGGAGCAATAGAAACTGATGCAAGAATTACTCATTGTTAGTAGGTATGTTTTGTCTAATTGGCCTTCAGTTTTATTTTACTCACTATCATAACGACAAAAGTTAATTGTTTGCAGTATGTAAGCAAGTGTGTTGTCACAGTAACTGTTTAATTGTTATTCATTACAATATTAACTATCGATAGGTGTTAACATATTCATTACTACATAAAAATATAAGTATACGTACATATCTATGAATTGAAATAATAAGAAATAGGTATATCAGAAAAATATGCTGTCTCCAAAACTAAGTCCCATCTTGCGGCAATATATAATAGTAATTGGTGGTAAGATACTTTTAATTTGTATTTTTTTTTTAATTCATTGCCTTCGGAAGACTTGTTGCCGTTTTCAAATTCAAAATACTACAATGTTGGAAAACCAAGACTTTTATTTGTTTAAAAGTGTTTATTATTTATTCTAAGATATGCAGCCGAAATATGTTCGCATATAGAAGAGCATATGCTCCAAATCAAATTAACGCAACGGGCAATGGCAATCCACTATACTATTCATAAGACTGACCGTGTTCCAAATATTAAAATTCAATATTCAAAACTATAAACTCGAAGATGTGGAAACACGAAATGAGTAACTAAAAAGAATAAGGATCGAACGCTTACCTAGAAAAGCTAATAGAAGGTGGATACAGACGGTATTAGAACGCTGGTCCAGGGATGAAATACGAGCTAGTCCACCAGTTAGCTGGTCGGATAATATTACCAAAATGGCCAGCAAAAAAGATGAATGATGTTGACATGAAATCGTATGTTATAGCACAGTGGAGAAGAAACATGTATTCAACAGTGGGTAGTTGTGGGCTGATATGATGACAATAATGATATTTTTATAATCAGCTACATTTAGTGTCATAGAAAATTTGGAGAAAATATCTACTCAGATGGGATCGTAGATAGGTATTTTCTTTTATGCCGTGATATTGACTATGACTTGACTGTATAATATTTAATATCTTATTGTTACCTAACTATTTATTTCTTTAACATATTTTCCATGTCTGGAACTTCTTGGTGTCTTACAGTCGTCGTGAAATTTGGTATATACGTAAGATCACCAATATCTAAAATGAAGAAAAACGTAAAAGTTGCAAGTAAACACTAATAAAGAATACATTATGAAATTTTATATGATTTCCATTTAACAATGTCAGCTCTAGCAATCCGCAGCCGATATTATAATGTGATTATTTTATTTTCTAGCCACATTAAGTATACTCAGCCCTGGATTCAGTTTAGGATGGGGTTCACCAGTCCTGGTGAAATTGATGAAAGTGGAAAATAGTACGGAAATGATACTATCAAAGCCTATCACCACTGAAGAGGGCTCCTGGTTGGTATCTATTGTATCATTGATTAGCATGTTTGGTAAGTTCCTGCGACTTTTATTTTTTTCTTATTTTTTTACATTATTAATAGCCTATACCTGCAACTTGGTTGCGAAAAAATAGACTATGTTAGTAGGTACTTTATCCCAAATACGTGTATGCCAAACTTCGTAATGGTTGGTTCAGCTATTAAACATCAATACTTTAACAAAATCAGTTTCACATTTATAATATACCTACTAGCCTATTAGTGATTACGTGGGTGGATTAACCAGGATAAAAAAGTATGTATTTTTTATCTTTCATCGTCATAGTAAATACAATGTGTACGGCAAATTTCATGATGATTAGTTGAGTAGTTAATGTAGCAATGAGGCAAGGAACAAATTTACATTTATTGATTTAATATTTTTGTATCTAATTATCTTATATATAAAATTATATATAAAAATCTCGTGTGCTTGTGGTCGAACTTTTCTAAATCGGCTCAACCGATGTTTACAATTTTTTTATGTGTATTTGGCAGGTATAAGAAGAATTAAAAAAATGTTTTAATGAAAGGTCTTAAAGTACATATATTTATTTTTATGCAACTTAGAATGGCGAACAAGCAGACGGCCCACCTGATGGAAAGTAGTAACCGTCGCCTATAGACATGAGCAATACTCTGAACACAATAGAGAATACTGTTTCGCCCATGATACCTCCCATGTGTTTCCATTACTGAGGACTCAGGTGTTATTCTTCTGCACCCTGTAAATTCACTGCAATATCTCACCCTACAAACCGAAACATAGCCTTAAAGTCTTAAAGTAGGTATATTTCATCCTTCTACGTGATAAGGGTGTTCCTATCCAAAAACATTTATCTGTATGGAAGAACAACGTTTGCCGGGTCAGTTAGTAATAATATAAATTTAGTGTCTTCTATATTAATGTTAATACCTATATAAACAGCAAAGTCAAAAACATCTGTTTCTATTTTTACCTATGTTAATTTGATCGGATATTACTAATGTAAGTCATTCTTGTTCGGTTTTTCTAATATTTTTTTCAAGACCTAGTTCTATAATTATACTCGTATATATGTTATTAACAAAACTTCTCTAAGAATATTTATAAATAAATATCCCTAATATAAGCGAATAGTTTGGGAATGGATGATGTAGTATAATAATATTAATCATATAATAAAATTATACTGTGCCGTCTATTCCGAAACTAAGTAGAGCTTATATCAGGAATATTTTTTTTTTATACAACAGAATGGCAAACAAGCTGACGGCCCACCTGGTGGAAAGTGGTGACCGTCGCCTATTGACATAAGCAGTATTATGGACATAACAGAGTACTGTTTCGCCCATGATAACCCCCATACATTGCCATGTCTGACGACTCAGATGTTATTTCTCTGTACCCTGTAAATTCACGCCATATCCTACCCTTCAAACCGAAACACAGCCATGTAAACACAACTGCTTTACGGTTGAAACATGAATGAAACAGATGTACCCAAGCAAACGACTTATGTACAAAGTCTCCCTCTGGTAAGTATTTCTCTTTAGGCAACTGAGAGAAATATTTACTTTTTTAATACCTACAATACGAGGTCTGTCCGGAAAGTTCGTATAAAAGTGTTCTGGAATGCGAGAAAGAGGAGTGGGGAGGCCAGGTAAGCGCAGGACCCCTTCCTTATGTCCCTAACAATGCTTCAGTTCTGGTCTGACCGCCGTGCGGTGCGAACTGGCTTGTCACGCCATCTGTGAAGTTACCTCTTAACGAAACCCCGTCGGCATGGAGCCCGCTTCCGTTGAAGAGTAGCGCGTCGTAATCAAGTTTCTCTCGAAACTCGGCAAAAATGGCCGTGAAATTTTTGCCGATCTAATTCGATAAGACATCCGGGGAACCACGAACAAAAAAATCAAGAAAATCCCGCTCAAATGTCAAGACAATGTTGATTGTTTTTTTCGATGTTCGGGGGATTGTCCATCAAGAATTCGTCCCTCCAGGCCAGACAGTTGATGGAAAAATGTGCTCAGACGCCTCAAAGCTCGTGTGGCACGAGTTCGTCCAGAATTGGCGCGAGAGGGGCGTTGGATTCTTCACCACGACAATGCCCCTGCCCACACCTCTCTTGTTGTCCGTGAGTTTTTGAGTAAAAATTCCATTACGGTGACCGAACACCCCCCTATTCGCCGGATTTGGCCCCGTGTGACTTCTTCTTGTTCCCAAAAACCAAATTGGTACTTCGGGGGCGGCATTTGGGGGACATAAATGAGATAAAAAAAGCTACGACGGGGCAGCTGAGAAACCTACAACCAGAGGACTTTCAAGGAGCCTTCTCACAGTGGAAACGGAGTTGGCACAAGTGCATTATGTCACAGGGGGAGTACTTTGAAGGGGATAAAATTGATTTACCTGAATAATTGTAAAATAAAATTTTTAAAAAACTTTTATACGTACTTTCCGGACAAACCTCGTATATACGAATACATAGGAAATACACAGATCAATATAAATTAGATATGTCTACTCACAAATAAAAATATTTATATTGGACGGAAATTCAATTAATAACCACGCAAATTGGAGCAGTGCATTTAAGGTCGTTTAAGTTTGTTTTCGTATAAGGGCCTTATAATAATTTACACTAGTTTAAACCTGCGATCTCATCTGCGTAACCAGAATATTTTGATTGACCAGGATAAAAATTGGCTTATATCCTTTTCCATTCCAAATACTACGAAATATTTACTATACGAGTATGCCAAATTTCATGACGGTAAGATATAGAACTCCTTTATAATATTAGTAAGGATTATACACATGTTGCCGTGTGATATCGGCATAGAATGAGTCAACCCTTCCTTTCTAGTGGGTGTCGTAACAGGTGACTAAGAGAACTTAATGGTTAAGGGATGAGCAGCATACCTCTTAAAACATCACTAAAAGCCTAACTGCAGTTGCCAACCTGCCAAGCGTGGCAACCCTATGTTCTGCAGTGGACAGTACAACTGATATGATGACAATGATACATATGTTATGCTAATTGAGTTATGCTAATGTATAAAAATACAATTGGAAATACGTAATTGTGCCATCTGTTTTTCTTTTTAATTATGATATTTACACTGATCAAATATTTATTTATCAAACATGTTTGGAAATGTGAGCATTATTTTGACAATCTTCTTCAAGATAAATCAAAATTTGCCGTACTGACCAAATACATGCGAGCAGCGGCCGGCAAAAGTTGTATGAAAATCCATATCTATCGTGTTTTGCGGCCAGATAAATTACTATGTAAACTCATATCTGTCCTGTAATTTAAAAATAGAATGACCTTTTCCTTTGAAACATGGCCACCAAGGAGTTAATTAATAAAAGGTTTTATATAAATTTCGAACTGGCTTGCAAATAGAAAGCTGTTTATTGAAAAAAAAATCAAAGGAACATTATGGCGCGTGAAAAATTATTATTGTTCGTTATTCGTCATTGAACTTAAAAAGTAAAATCATGTTTTTGATTTCCGCGCATTGTTTGAGAAAAGTACTATACAAGCCTTGGCCACAACTAGGCATTGATGGACTCACGTATGTGTGCCTCGGCTGCGCCTCGGCCCACTTTTGCACGTTCGTCCATCAATGCCTCAGTTGCTGGCCGCTGCAGTAATGTACTATAGAAATGAATTGTGAGGTTTTTCTAGTAATCTAACGGGGATAATACCTATCTATGTGCATACCATGACTTATGGGATAAGAAGAGTGAATTGTGAGCCAAATGTCATGGGAATGGAATGGAAAGGTATTAGGAATTTAGGTATTATGTCTCTTCCTTCATGCACTTTCATAATTCATGTCATGCAATCACAGATTGCTAAATTCGGAGACTCTTATCTCAAATGAAATACGGTTTGACTTTGGAAACAAGAAATCTTTTTTAAGATCTTTGAAGAATGATCAGTTTCACGTATTACCTATTATTATCGGGTTTGTAGTTTGGTATATCCGTTTCATATCCATTCTAAATTTTATCAGTCAAAATGATGACAAACATATTTTGACTATACATACTTTAAATTGTAGATTAAAAAAATCTGTTTCAGCTATCGTTCTTATTCCGTTAGCCAACGTAATAGGGCGGAAATATTGCATAGTATTGTCCTGTTTACCAAACATAATAGCTGGCCTCATTTTTGTCTTTTCTGACAAGTTTTGGCTTGTCTTATTTGGCCGCGGATTGTGTGGAGTATCTATAGGCCTGCTGTTCCCGATTATTTCTGTTTATTCTGCTGAAATCTCTGATGTAAGTATTTTTGAAACCCATATCTACAACAACCTCATTGGTAGTAATTTTTTACTTTGAAGGTAAATATTTAAATCACAAATCAGTAAACCTTTTCAATTACAAAAATAATTATGATCAAAGTTTATTGTTTTTTAGATTCTTATATGTTTGACGAAATGTTAGTAATATCAAGTACTACGTTTACCACATCTGCAGTACAAGACAAATATCTCTGAGTACCGTATTAAGATTTAGAGTCATGAGCATTTTTGTTTTAGCATTTTGTTTGAGGATTATACTATATGTTTTTTATTTCATTTCAGAAAGAGATACGTGGAACTTTATGCTCCTTCATACAAATAATCTGTGCTTTGGGCTGCGTGACTATGTTCATCGTTGGACCATTTATTTCCTATATTAGTTTAAACGTCTTATATACTTGTATCACTATAGTCAGCTCCATTCCGTCGCTGTTTATACCTCGAAGTCCATATTTTTTGTATTCAAAAGGTAAGGTCGCCTTTAATTTCTTCCTCTTATAAGAATCAAGTTGCTCGATACCTACCTATTCAATGACAAAAACCCTATATAGCGGATTATTATGCATATCTATGAATGAGAAATTTTTTGCGCTACATAATGGCTCTTGAAAGAGACTCTTCAACTTCTACTCTTAAAAAAAGGAGTTACAAATTTTAAAAGGTTGGCATTGCGTTTGTCTTATTACAACATTCATGGACAATATTAACTACTGTACATCAGGTGCACCAATCTATATTCTAAACTACTTACATTTCTAGGTCGAATACAAGAATCACTTCAAGTTCTAACAATGTTACGAGGTTCAGAAGAACGAGCAAAAGAAGAAATTGAACAATATTCATTGTACAAAAGAGAAAATGAAATCGAAATATCTAAAAAGATTTATAAAGAGAAAACATTTTGGAAAGCCATTTTCATATCACTAACACTAGCCATTCTATCGCAATGTTCAGGATATAATTCGGTATCTTTCTATTTACTAACTGTATTAGAATCTACGGAAACTAGTATTAGTCCAGGGATTGCTTCAGCTGTGGTAGGTGGGATACAATTGTTTGGCGCCTGCATAACAGCCTGTATCGTTGATAAGTTTGGAAGAAAGATGATATTGTTTAGTTCATTCATTGGAATTGCACTTGGAATGGTAAGAAATTTAGATTGATTTTTTTTAATTTATACATTGTAATATGCTTTTGGTATACATCAGTATACGTATTTCGGTAAGGAATTCTGCTAATGGCACCTCGGATTGTTCAAATCTGGTATATGTTGGTATAGACTATATTGGGGCGGCAAGTGAGTAATAATGAGTGAGGATGAAAGCAGGACAATTGGCCCATCTTGAATTAATTATTAGAAAAGAGCGGTTTCTCCTAATACACTCGCTGTTTGTAATAGCAGGCTAATATCCTCGTGTGGAAAGATCCATACTCAGTAGGACTACTCAGTGTTTCCTGTCTCTCTTAGACCCACCATCTAGATTGATGTATTTAGTGCATTTTTTAACATAAATTTCTGCTTACCATATTTTTATAATCTGTTTCAGTGTGGTTTGGGAACATTTTTCAAAATAAAGGAGACCCAGGAAATTCATGGAATACTAAACTTTTTGCCAATCATATCAATAATATTCGTTATATTCAGCTTTATAGCAGGTAAATTAAAAATATAAGTATTTTTTATTTTAATGTAAACAAGTGTAACGATCTATTTTATTTCTAGTTAATTCCCTTGTGATCGATGATGTTTGTTTCTGTTCAATTGTTCTGTTTCTATATATAGTTTATTATTGTAATATAGTATAATGTTGTAGATAAATTATAAATGACTTATAATTATATATACTGACTTATAGATTAGTTTATATAGCCGAAAATGTAATGGCAACCTATTGCAATAGATCCCTATTATTGTATATACCTATTATCTGACAGTCCCTTCCCTCCCGCCGCGTGAAGATCAATCTGATATTTACATTATTAATAATCGCTGCTCCACTTATAAACTTGTCCAATGCTAATGGGTCCATGAAATTCTCTTCCAGGTCCAGCTTCAATTCTGTTCACATTAGCGGCGGAGTTGTTCGACAGGCCAGCGAAAACTGTGGGAACCTCGATAGCAATTTTAGTAAATATGCTATTTATGTTTCTAGCCATCAAGTACAGCGGTATTATTACCAGTTACGTGGGCGTAGTTTGGAGTTATTGGATGTATAGTTGTATTTCTATGTTGAGTTGTTTGTTTGTTATAATTTTTATACCAGAGACGAAGGGGAAGAGTTTTGCCGAAATACAGGACAAGTTAAAAACGGGGAAGTCAAAGATGTCATTTCACGTGGTTACAATACGATCGTAGAGTACAATCTGTTTTATTAAAACTTAAGGAAAATGTTAACAAATAAATAATTGATTCGATTGATCCATTGATGACATAGTTTATTGATGTCCAACAGCATCTAGTATACATAGAATGTCGACTAATTGATCTGATATTTCGAATTGTTACTGATTTTATATAGAAAGTGTTTCTCTGATATTTTTCTACAAAACGTATTTATTTACTTTAATTTGCACCACTTAAAGTATTTTATATATAATTCTAATATTGCTGTGTGGTCCCGGTATAGAATGAATGAATGGAAGGGGTGGCCTATCCCTCCCTTTCCCGTAAGTGTTGTAAGAGGCAACTAAAGGAGGGGGAGAGATGGGCAGCAGCGTCCCTCTTAAAACTTCTATAAAGTCTAATTGCGATTGCCAATCCGCCTGGCAAGCATAGGAAGTACTAGCAAAACCCCCCAAGGGGGAGGTTTATGTTCAGCAGTGGGCACTTAAAGGCTGATATGATGAAGATATATTTCACTTATGAAGTTTGCTTGGGTACCTCTGTCCCATTCGTGTTTCAACCGTGAAGCAGTTTTATTTGCATGGCTGTGTTACGGTTTGAGATATGGCAGTGAATTTACAGGGTACAAAAAAATAACACCTGAGTCCTCAGGAATGGTAACGCATGGGGAGTATCATGGGCGAAAGAGTATACTCTGTTATGTCGATGGTACTGCTCATATCTATAGGCCACTTTCCATCAGGTGGGCCGTCAGCTTGTTTGCCATTCTATGTTGAAAAAAACAAAAGGTGCAAAGCTCGCTAAAGTAATCTCTTCCAGACAACCTTTCGGCAGAGGAGAAAGAAAAAAGACGGTAGCTATTTGACGCGAGAAATGTAACTAATAAAAAAATAGAGACGCTTATTATTAATAACACACGCAAATAATTATATTTACATTATTATTTATGGTTACATTTTCATTCAATTGTATTGAAATAGACAATATTATTTTTCGTCTCGTTGTATTGTGGTGCGGGTGACACCTAAAATTATTGCTATGAAGAGAACTGATTGATATTTAGTCACGGTATAAACTTTGTTTTGAATCTCTAAGTTACGTTTTATTTTTTTTATATTTTATGTTCTTAAGGGCCTATTACACATTAGAAAGCCCAGTGCAGGTATAGGTAGCTTGAATATTTTCGTAATTGTAGATAAATCGTTTATTACATTTTATGTGTTCAATCAAGAAAAATAAATATGTTTATAACTGTAATAATTGATGGAGCAGTAAATTGACGCGAATATTGATTGTTATCAATAAGAGCTCCAATCTATTGGTGATAAGAGTTATAATTAAGAGATTGTCACCCTTAAATTATACTGTTACCGTAGTAGTGGACGTAACAGTTCATTTGTCCATATTATAAAATTCAATGGGATTTTAGTTTAGATTGGTATTAGACCTCTAAAATTTTAGACAGTTGTGTCCAGAATTCGTTAAATAAATATAATATTCATTGACTGTATGTACTTTGTTACTGTATATCGTAATTTCTCCCCGTTGTTTCTTACTAACAGATTTATATTATTACTTATAGAATTTTTTAGTCCTACTTACATGGTTTAATAGTGGAACAGAACAGATTTTTCAATTCGCTTTGTTCTACTAGTAAAATTTGTCGTAGAACTATACGGATACAATGTAGGTAATAAGGTTATATATTTTCAATCGATTTCAAAAAGAAGAATTTTTAATTTTGTTGTGTTTATGTTTGTTACCTCATAAATTCGTCAGTTATATACCGATTTGGAAATTCATTTTCTCATTTGACCCTCTAAACAAGTGATAAGTAAATTCGTCGATGGAGTGGACATCGCTAGCGAGTCTGTCAGATAGAATGAGATAGTAACGCCGGATGTCCCATTCCAACTCACGGACTTGGTAGCGATGTCGATTTCATCGACGAATTTGCAAGCCACTTGTCTAGAGGGCCTGGAAGGATATACCTACTGACATATTTTTTTAATGGATTATTTTTCTAATGGTATACATTGGCGGGGCACCAGAGAGGGATGATAGGAGAGAATGAAAAGGCTGATCAATTAGTTCATCGTGATTAATACACCTGGAGTTCAGGACGATGATTTCCGGAAGGGACCACGTGGAGTTCTACCTGATAGGGTATATTGGTCTGGTAGTCCGCATTATTAACAATTTCTTAACCTCCCTCCTACTTACATTTTGGTTCCATAGAAATTTTATCAAAATCGGTCCAGTTGAAGTTGCTTATTGATGGATACAATCTTAACAGTTATAATCAAGCCACCTTAATACAATAATTACATTATAGACATATGTTAATACAAACTTATTTATATAGTATGTGCAAAAACAAATTGGGCAATGAATACGACATTTGCTTAAGAGTTACGATTAAATTATGACAACATAATTATCTGTATAAAAAAATATTTTTATTACTATTAAGATTATATTATAGGCTATTATAGATTACTATCTACCATAGTTCTAGTAATATAAGGCTTAAAAATTTATAGTCAGTCATACAGAAATAATATAAATATCTCTAAATAATTCCATAGCGTCATCTTATCTTAAATTAAGCTGTTTTTGTTTTTGTAATTTTTTTTTTATAATAAGTGCTAGACGAGACTAAAATAAATAGTTGACTTTATTCTGTGATTTTGACAAAACGGGTAGGTATGAGTATATGTATAAGAACAACACAGATAAAACATATAGGTTTAGTATAGTGTTTTTGATGAAAAGAAAACATCAAAATTGGTTCATAAAATGTAGGAGAATTCATATACAACTTTCTTATCTAAATTTATGTTTGAGATTTAACGTGACGCGAAATAGCTTAAATATATATATATGTAAATATGTATATATATAATTTACGAACTTACTATGTTTATTGTTTCGACTTCATCCGGTGGCCTTCTTCAGAAGGAGTACTGCGCTGAAATATGTATAAACAATGAAGGTATTATCGTCAACCAATGATTTGTCGAAAATGTCGATCCCCTAGTAGGCATTGCATTTCTTTGCGTCTTTTATTGCATATATAATGGGAAGGGTTCTGAAAAATTATTTGTATTAATGCCAGCTGCAGATTTTCATCACCGTACAATCCGCCACAAGCTAAAGTTCCATTCCAACCATTTTGATGAGTTATGATCCTCCACCGAGCATTTCTGTAAATATTTTGCTCCATGCACAACCAAGGTATGTTACCAATTCCACTCAGCAGTATTTCCGAATAAATATGACATTGAAACCTTCGAGAAAAGAGCATATTCCTGTCTAAAAGGCCGGGAATATACCTACAATTTCTCTGATGTCGCGGATGCCTTATCATCAGATAAGCATGTGGAGCGCAATCACAGACCATGTCTCACCAGCTGTCCTGTCCTTTGTTCTTCATCTTATATGAAAGAGGACCTGACTAAGACAACCAACTGTCCTGTGGAAGTTGCTAAGTTTTGGTACAAATATATTTAGGTTGCCTATTGATACGAAAGAAGAAGATCAGGTGAGCTGCATGCTCATTTACCTCCTATGTTATAAAAAATGTTTGTAATTAACATTTTTAACTTTTCTGCATAGTTTGACAATCATAGCGTGAAAAATTGTCTTGTTATATGTATCCTTATAATAAATGTGAAAGTGAGTACATTTTATCTCGATCAGTGATTATATCCTAGTCACGGAGACGAAGTTAAAGCTACACTATATAAAAAAAAAATCAATTTAGTTAAATAATTTTATTATCTCTTAATTTATCAATATTATTATTCTACTATTATAATATGTAATTTAGATATACCTATCAAAAATTATGCTTAATTTATCATATAATCCACTTTTATTAACGAGAAGTTTTGTTTCTCGTACTAGCCATCATAAAACATATTAAATTATCTACAGATATATAAATAATTGCCCTTATTGTTATAGTTATCAAACACATCATATCATATCGCAGATCCTAAATCTGGATATTGAAACCAAATAAACGGTAAAATTTCCATTACTCATTTCTGAAAATCTATTTCATAAATACAACTATAAGTTTAATTTTAATATTTTCAAGCGTCTTCTGGGCGGTCCTTTTTTTGTCCCAATAAATCTTGTATTTCAGCGAAAGATCGTCCTTTAGTTTCGGGGATACAGAACAGTACGAACATACAGAATAATATACAGTTGACACTAAACATCCAGTAAGTCACAGATGGGCCTAACGCTGTTGTCAATAAGGCGAAGTATTTTAGGGTTAAGAAAAGAGTTAGAGACCCTATTATCCCAGCTAAAGTTAGTCCCATGGCTCTGGAAGGACCATCGAAGAGTTCGGAGCACAATGGCCAATTTACTGATCCTGGCCCTGCAAAACATAAAAAAAACATTTTATTATGGTTTTTTGTAGAACAGTACAGGTGTTTTTTTTTTAATAATTATGAATATGGGTACAAAGTTCAATCAAATGCTAACATCATGACTATTATGAGTAACATGAACAAGATAAATCTTACTCAACATAAAAAAATCCCTTGTCACGATATTTGTTAACGCTAATCTCCGAAACCGCTCTACCGACTTTAATAATATTGTGTAAATATGTATTGTTTGCTCCAATTTAAGAGATGGAATAATTTATATCCCGTTAAGAAATAAAACGCTTATGTGCGAGTTACCCTTTGTAAACCGAGGATTTCGTAGATATATAATGACTTAAAATTCCATTTATTATACGAAATAGACACATAATAATAATTTATAGTGTTACTCCAATTCGCATTTTTGTACTTTAAATCACAGTTGTGGTTAAAACTGGACCGTAAAAATAAGTTTGTATTAGGAGCTTATAAATTATTGGACAATTTATTAAAAACTGTGCTAGTTACAAACTTCCTTTTATTTTTTCTGTAATATTCACATATAACTTCATAATTTGTACTTATTTCAAACTAGCGGCCCGTCCCGGCGTCGCACGGGTAAACATTTTTAACATTTCTCATTACTATTCTGCTCCTATTAATCGTAGCGTGATAAAAAGATACTATAACCTGTCCAGGAGTATGGAGAATAATTGTACCAAGTTTCGTTAAAATCCGTCGAGTAGTTTTTGTTTCTATAACGAACATACAGACAGACAGACAAAAATTTTACTGATTGCGTTTTTGGCATCAGTATCGATCACTAATCACCCCTTGATAGTTATTATGGAAATATATTTCATGTACAGAATTGACCTTTCTACAGATTTATTATAAGTATAGATTTTCGTTTTACAAACTTCGGAAATAAAGGAGGGATAGCTTATTATCATATTTTCGATCATAAGCCAAAATTTTAATGGCAATAAGGGACAAAACAACGTTCGCCGAGTCTGCTCGTGCTTTAGTAATTTACCATAATAAATTGTTGTTTCTGAGAAATGTAGTTGTGTCGGTATTGTTATATTTTATCCTTTAGATTGAAATAAAAGATCTACGCAAATAGTTCATAAATGAATCCTAATGAAACTTTAGAATGGTGAATAACTTGACGATCCACCTTATGGACATTAGTATCTAATCCCCGCCAAATAAAACATAAACAACATGATAGTCATCACAGAATGCACTGTGATGCTCACACTATCTCTTGTGCATTGTCCTTATTGAGGATTTTGGTGTTGTGCGTCTGTACCCTGTAATTTCACTGCCATGTCTCTTCTTTCAAACCGAAACAACCATACAAGAGCTACCCAAGCAGACAACTATTGTACAGTCATCGTTTGGTAATAATACTAGATTAATTGGTAAATTGCTATAAAGCTACTCAAAAATATTTCTGGTTTCACATCTAATTTGTGATTATCGCTTTTCTAATTTGAACCATTTAATATATAGTCTTAGTGATCGATTCTCCAGAATTATTATGGTAATCGGCTTATTGTTTTACTTATATATCTAATTAATTTATTCAATATAGATACACAAAGATATATTTACCGGCGCTGTAACAAAATACAACTAGTATTAAAGATATTAATGGCAAATAGTTCATGAAGCCGCTGATTTGTCCTTCACTTTCCTTTATTCTAAAGAATATCCCGAGGCCAATCTGCAAGCAAGAGAAGAACATACTTTTTAATTTAATGAGCGTTATGGTTTTGTAGGTACATAATTTAGTGTATACACCTTCCGTACATACAAGTGTTTAAATAACAGTGAAATGAGGAAAAAATCTGTTGCGTAAAAAAGTAATCGGAGTAAAACGACTTTATAATAATCAGAGATAGTAAAGCAAGTGCAACTTACCATTCCTACAGCTGTTCCAGCCAGTGTAGTCCCCAAAATAGGTTTCCTACCAAATTTGTCTGTTACCAAAGTAGTGCAAAAACTGGCTAACAGCTGTATGCATCCTATAATAACTGAAGCTATTTCTGGTCTTACGCTGGTTTCAGTCGATTCCAATACAGTCTGAAGGTAAAAAGTCACCGCATTGAAACCAATAAGTTGACTTCCTATGTTCAAAACTAGGACTATACCGAACGCCTTTAGAAATTGTCTATTTTTTATTATATCAATCTTCTTTGGCTTAATATCGTTTGTGAACGAGTATTCCTTTATTTCCTCCTGTGCTAATGCTTCAGATCCTCGAAGAAATGTCAATACATTTAAAGCTTCTTCTGTACGTCCTAAAATATATATATTTGTAGTAGGTATATGAAGATATTCATAGAATTCACGGTAAAATTTAAAAGCAGAGGTACAGATATGGACATAAATAAAAGTATAGAAAATTTTTATGCCACATGCATACACAATGCGTAACAAATTTCTACAAATACCTATTTATAGAATTATAATAATTATGTAAAAATGGGTAGGTAATTCATATTTTCATCATTATTTTGACAGTAAGCTACCTAAGGAGCCTTAAGCTGTCTTAACCTGTTATCTGAATTATTTATTATATTTTTTATTTAAATTCATCTGGAAAAGGTCTTAAGAATTGAATTTTTAAAACGTGTTATGAATGATCACGGATTTAACCACTGCTTTTAGATATCAAAAAAGTAGACTTAGGTTGCAATTATTTCCTCACTTGATTGATTGAAATGTGAAGATGCTATCTAGTCTAGACTAAGTCAGTAAATAAGTTTTCAAAATATTGAATACATACCTTTTGAGTGCAGAAAATAAGGACTATCTGGCAAAAATAGAAGTGGTATTGACAGAATAACAACTATCCCAGTAAATATCGCATTAAGAGTCACATATGGCGTGAATGGACCTATACTCAGCATCATCAGGATACCTAGAGAACACAGTATTTGCAGTATAGTACCAAGAGCACCGCGAATTTCTTTCTGTAAGAAAATATATACTATATTAACAATCTTTATGGAGCAATGACGCAACAATTTAAAATAACAAACAAACTGATGGAAAGAATCGCTTACTCTTACGCCTATAGTTACGAACAATATATATGGACACTATTGTGATGGTCATGGTACGATTCATGTACATTATTACGTTAATTCCGAATTACCTTTTGACATTGTTTGTACACCTCAAAATATAATATTATTTTATGGGTCGAAGTGCACTAGTGCAACAGCATGGTCTAATAGCTACTGAAAGTTTCATCTAAGAAAGGTCTTCGGTCTTGGAGTTTCAATTTATTGTGACGAAATTTCAAACCAATTGCTACATTTTACCTGCTACTTCATCCAGATGATTAAAAATAGTCTGAGTTCCTGTCTACTACGTGTATGTCAAATTTCATAACGACTAATAAAGAATCAAGGTGGTAGGTATGGTAATATTAATAAGGGTATGTAGGGTAGGCAGTAATACTCTGATAATACTCACGCTAGCAACTTCAGAAGCGTATGTGGGTACCACAGTAAACGAGAAGATATCTGCTACCGCTCCAAGCGCTCGGCCCAACATAAGCATCCAGATTTCGGTCGCAAATGTAAATATTAGACACATGACCACCTTTGGGACACTTGATAAGATGATGCATTGTTTCCTACCAATTCTATCAAGTAGGACAGCGGGCAGGAAACTGACTGTAAAATTAACAAAAACGACATTAATTAAAAAAAAGAAGATAAAAGTTATGCGTAGTGATATTAAATTTGACGACATGGATAAATATTATTAATATTAATTAAAGAAAATGTTCTCTAAAAATGTTTGTTTTTGATAAAATTAGTATTCAATTAATATGGGAGTAAACTCTTGTGATTAAAAAAAAAAACAATAAAACCGGTTCCATTGCATAACAAAATTACCTATACAAAAATTGAATAATCTTCCATATAATTATATACATAAGCAGGTGTATCATAGTTAAAAATCATTGGCATAGAATAATGCGGAAGAGATGTGGTGGCCTCGAGTGGTGACCCAGTATATGTAAAAGTAGTGTAGGAGGCCACATTCCAGATGGTATAACGAGATGAACTAAAATACGTTATAGGAAATTGATGATTCCAATAGCTTGTTTCAATACAAATAATGGAGTCGTCACATAAATACCCTCTATATGAAATAAGTAACAAATCGAAACATTAAATCAGTTTGTTAATATTGAATTCATACATTTTGTCCACTATTGGACATTGGCACATTGACTATGATCGGTTAGATCATTGATGCATTCTTTGTAACAGTCTATGGGAGAGACTATGTTCAATACTTAATTAATAATTACTACTGGACATAATGGTTATAAACTAAGCTGAGTTTGTATTGCGGGTACTAGGTAACCGACAGACGTACTTAAATAGATTTATTTTTAAATAGGTAGATACAATTTTTGCTTTAGAGAATGTCATTTCCCTAATTGCTAAAAACAAATTTCATTTCACTAACAGAATACTACGTATTTAGAAATTATTTAGACGAATACAAACAAATATGAGGTACTTATGAAAACAAATGTACATATTGTAAGGGGATCGAATCCACAAAGATCAGAAGGTTATAGAAATGGATTGTTAAAATGGTAATATAGTAAATAATATTATTTAACCAGTATAAGCACTTACAAAATATTGCAACTAGGAATCCAATGGAAACAATCCAGGAGCCTTCTTCTTCAGTTATGGGCCTGGAGAATATAGTCTCATTGGTGTTGCTCAGCTTCACCAGGACTGGTGACGGCCATGCCAAGTTCAGACCAGTGCAGAGCACACTGAAATTTGCTGGGAACAATATTTATTCATATGTAAATAATAATGATGGGTGTAAGGTATGGGATTGTTAGTAATGAGGTCTAATAGACCCATTTTGAGGGAAGGAATTGTTAGTAATGGGGAGGTTAGTCCTCATCGCTATCAATATACCTTATCAGGTCGACCTCCACGCGGTTCCCTTGGAAACTATCGTGACTAATTTATCGTTGAATTCTTCACGATGACCTGCCTTTTCATCCTCACCAATCATCTCTCACTGGTGCCCGGCTAGTATATATCGATAGCGCAGGCGGAGTTACCATTCTATTATCATCCATAAAAAAAATAGACCCATTGTTCGCAATATATCAGGTCGTCCTCCATGCGGTTCTCTTGGAAACTATCTATATTAATTGTAGTCGAATTTGTCATAATGGGCCAACTAACTTGTATTCATGCTCACTTAGCATGTTTCACTGGTGTCCCGCCAGTGTATATCGACGGAGCAGATCGATTCGGTTGTATTTATTTTTTATATTTGTTACCTAATAACTCCCTTATTTGTAAACCTATTTGCGGCGGGGGGGGGGGGGGGGGAGGGATTATTAGTAATGGGGTCTAACTGATCCATTGCTAGCAATACACCCTATCAAGTCGACCTCCACGCGGTTCCCCCTGGAAACCGTCGTGGTTAATTCTAGTGGAATTTGTCATAATGGGGTAACTGATCTGCTTTTATCGTCACCTATTATCCCTCACTGTTGCCCCGCCAGCGTATATCAATAGTGCAGGCGCGGTTGTCATTCCATTATCAACCATTAAAAAACTCCTTTTTGCGAAATTACATTTTTATATGAAAGTATATACTAGGCGAATTGGCAACCGCAGTTAGGTTTTGAAGATGTTTAAAGAGGGCGCTGCTGCCCCTCCCTCGCTCTTCGTTAGTCGCCTCTTACGACACTCACAAGAAAGGAAGGGGTGGCCTATTCTATGCCGGAACCGACACGGTGAATATAATTATATACATATAAACACTATGTTATGTTGTATTCGTATGAGAGTGTTGCTATATGGTGTCCAATGTTCCTAGATCTCTTCGTAATGTGACTATAATATTTATAAATATTACAAAAAAAAAAAAAACAATTACTTTATATTATTTACTAGTATTTTTTATTCTAGAAACAAAACTAAATAAATAATGTACTAGTACGAAACTTGAGCTCTTTATATATACATCGTTCGTATACAGACGTCATAGTTATGGTACCAGTGACATGATTACGCCGTTTATGTATGAAGTGTCCGGTATATAATCGAGGTAAACAGTACCATCAGATCAGATTATATTTCTTATAAACAATGTACATCCTAAATGGTTTATAAAATTATTATACGTCTAACACCTACCTACTGGGGGAAAGGGATTGTTAGTAATGGAGACTGAGAATCCTACTGCTAGCAATATACCCAACCAGGTCGACCTCCTCGCGGTTCTCTCTGGGAACTATCATGGTTAATTCCTGATGAATTCATCATGATGGGCTAACTGGCCTGTTTTCATTCTCATTTATCACCCTTCACTGGTGCTCCGCCAGCGTATCCCGTTAGCGCAGGCGAGGTTACCATACCATTTTCACCCATAAATAATGAGGTCTAATAGTCCCACTGCTAGTAATTTTTTTTTATACAACTTCAAACCGAAACACAGCCATGCAAACACAGCTGCTTCACGGTTGAAACACGAATGGGACAGAGGTACCCAAGCAATCGACTTTTGTACAAAGTCTCCCTCTGGTAAATGTACTCTGGTAAATGTAATATACTCTATTAGGTCAACCTCCACGCGGTTCCCCCTGGAAACCATCGTGTTTAATTCCTGTTGAATTCGTCAGAATGGGCTAACTGACCTGATTTTATCCTCACCTATCGTTACTTACTGATACCCTGCCAGCGTATATCGAAAAAGCACCTACCGATCTGTGTATAAAGAAACATATTTAGTGATAACTTGATTCTGTCCATGTATAGATGACACGTATCAAATAAATAAAATCATTTTATGGTAAATAAGTTGGAAGTCACGTGTCGTGACATTAGACCGCATATACCATGCAATAATGACCGCGTGATATTTATAATACGATACGCACGTTTAATTTTAAATCATGTACTTATTTAATATTACTAGACAAAGAAGTATATTATTAATCTTATGTTTTAACCTTGATTCGTAATAGGTTAGATATAAAAAGCCATCTTTTTAAGCTGTTCAGTATTTATTTTTTACAAAGTCAAAAACGATCTAAATGAAAACGCGCTTTTTTAAAAGTCGTTTGATAAAAAAGGGTTATCATTATCTAAACTAGAATAATAAAGAATTGATCTTTTTATTTGTAATAGTAAACCTAAAATCGTTTTTAAAAGTTTTTTCACATATATATTTTCATGGATGTAAGTATATATATATATATATATATATATATATATATATATAGTAAGTATGTTTGCAAATATTTACGATTTCACAAAGAAAAATGCCAACTTTAATTGTCACGTAATTTTATTAATGAATAAGTAGCACATCAAAATAGATGCAACATTAATGACGTAATATAGTCATAAACAGTATACGTGTATTAAGTACTTTGGATAAAAGAATTGAAACAGACCAACTATGCTCGCAACTTTGTTCGCGTAAACAGGATAAAAAGTAGCCTATGATATTTTCTGTACCAAATACTTGCGAAGATTGTTTGTGTCATTAAGGCGTCAAGTAGTAAGAAATAAATATAGGCAAAAAAATTACAACATTAACAAGGATATTCCAGTATAAATAGGTACCGGGGAAGACCAAACTAATAATACAATCAGATACGTGTGCACTAACTCGGAGGAATGAGTCAAAAGTCACCAAAACCGGTTTGTATTAGCTATACCTGAGTCGAGTTATTGTGAATTCTAAATTTTGATAGATACTTAATACCAATGAATGTCTGGGTATTTTCAGTGATTTTTTAATATTTTATTCTTTGCCCAAAATAATATTACTATAGTAGTAAGAGCAATTGAACCAGTGCATGGCTGTAGGTAGGGGGAGCTTAAACTTGGATCTAGCTACGGCCCTGAACGAGTGATATTGATGTACTTTGTCAATGGTGTATAAAAACAGTCACAGCTCAGAGTTAATGTCATCATTGACAATATGGAAGGTCACACGCCATAAATTCAGAATAGGTACCTACTCAGACCAAAGCTATGTACAATTAGTAAAATTTGATAATGTAGATACCCACCTATCTATCTACTTGAATACAATGGGGTAATTATGGTGTCATAAATTGCAATAATTTAGATTGTCTTATTTGGAATACATCATCATTATTGTTGTATAATTGACAACCTTCTATGTGACGTAATAGAGTTCACGTTCAGAATTTGATTTTAAAACGATGCTACCTGCGTAGTGATAAAATAATAATCTGACCTTTGTCAAGGATCGTCATACATATTATGTTGACAGCATAGTAATGAATACACTAACATTGAAATTATCTAGTATGAGACTTTGTATACTTTTTTCAATAAATGAAATTGAAATGGCAATTTTGCTAGCACTACACTGGTAGGGTTTCAATGAGGGATAACAGGTGAATTTAAAGTCAGGTCTACTGTTCCACCATGATTAATTACAAATTTGATGAATTTGTAGAAATTTGATTATACTTTCTATAGGAGGCTCTTACAAGGAATATTGTCAGCAACGATGTTGCTAGTCCCTTATTACTGATAATCCCTTTCTCTGCTCTGTTTGATTTGGAACTAGATTTTGTTGTTTTATAATAAAGGTTTTTTTATTTTTTTTTTAAGTAAATATTTATTGAAATTTATTTACATAGAAAAGAAATCGTATGTTAAATTTAAAATTTTATTTACTCGTACTTATGTTTACATCAATATTTATTAGATAGTTAAAAATAGTTTCATCCATCTTTACATTAAATTCCTTGTGGGGTAGGCAGGAAAGTCTATAAATAGTTTTCAAAGCTGTAAAATCTATTAAATACCCTACAATCTATTTTGAAAAGGAAATAAATATAAAAAGGTATTAAAGACATACGTCTACCTCTATTATAGATTTTTTTTAATATCATCGAAACTGTTAACTATTTTATCTCATTGCTTGTATTAGGTAGATTTTAACTCGTCAACATAAATAGTGTTTTAAAGGTGCTGTCTGTAGAGCTCTGTGGCATCTTGACCTATAAGGTTAAAGAAGCGTTTCTTCATGGTTATATGTTTTTTGTTATAATAAAGTATTATTTTATTTCATAAAAAATCATCGTAAAAAGCTACTAGGAACAAATATCAATACACCAGTCAAAGGTAGAAGTACTACTTAACTTGTTTGATATTATCATAATTCTCACGAAACGCCTGCAATTTCCTTATAGGTTGTTTCACCACTTACTACATCCTGGTCATATTTGTATTGTCAATGTATTCTTGGTCAATAAAAAGAGTACAATAGTGTTTGATAGATGTCGACTGAAATGCAAAATTGCCAACTTCCCGTTATATTAAGATATAATTGGCGCTACTTATATCATCTGTGCTAATGCGACGTGTAGTCTAAAGCAATTTGTTCTCAAGTGTCACGATTATACATTTAGGATTGAAAAGAAGATATTTATAAAATTGCAAGTTATAAGGTCAATGACCTCTGATGATACCGGTTTTGCAGCGTTGTAATTTATAAGATTGATTTTAGAGTGGATGAATAAACAGAAGTTTGACTACTGGTAATAATATTTATTTATTTATTTACGCACGTGACATCCCTGATGTTGCATTCGTCCATAGAATACAGTGACCGTTTACCATCAGATGAGCTGTATGTTTTTGGCTACTTTCATGGTATAAAAAAAACATAAAAATGTATTAGGAAAGAGTTGAGTATAATAAAGTATATTAAATATATAATATACTATGTGAGCCGTACGGTTCCGCCATAGAACATAGAACATGCA